CCACTATGGGGGAGAAAATGTTTGCCAGCTGTACCTCAGACACAGGATTACTATTGAGAACATATAAAGAATACAAAGAAATTATCCTCTCAGATTTAAAGACCCAATCCCAAAATAGGCATCTGAGATGAATATCCACTTCTCAGATGAAGAAATACAAACAGCAAATAAGTATGTGAAGAAATGTTCAACAGCACTGACCATTCAAGAGATGCAAATTAAAGCAACACAGATTCCATCTCATGCCAGAAAGAATGGCTAATATTAAGAAAGAAATCAAGCAATAACAAATGCTGGAGGGGCTGTGGGGAAAAAGGAACTCTTCTCCACTGTCGGTGGAAGTGTAGACTGGTGCAGCCACTGTGGAAATCAGTGTGGAGATTCCTCAGAAAACTAGGTTTAGAGGTTCTGTACGACCCAGCTATTTATCTTCTGGGCATCTTCCCAAAAGAATTAAAAACATCATACCACAGTGATATATGTGCACCCATGTTTATAGCAGCACAATTTGTAATAGCTAGATCTTGGAAACAATTCAAATGCCCACCAGCTAAGAAATGGATAAAAAAGATGTGATATTTTATACAATGGAGTACTACTCAGCCATAAAAAGGATAAACTGGAGACTTTATAGGTATATGGCTGCAACTTGAGACCATACTCATTAGTGAAATAATAAGATACACATAGTATTGCCTCATTAGTGTGAGAAGCTGAAAGAAACAACATGTGCATATGTATATGTTATACAAAAATAGTTCATATAGTTATACTACAAATTTCTCTGAGTACACTAAAGAAAAAGATTTGTGCTGGTAATGTTTGGACAAGTAAACAAATGTGCTCTGGGTAAATAATTTGGGAATAACAATGTGCAATGTATGTACCATCACTATCCTCTGATTGACATGTTTTGAATTTTTGTTTTAGTTTTTTCTTCTTTTTCTCTTTGAAATAAAATGGGTTTGGGGGGAAAAAAACCCTTAAAAACATTGTCCTCTTTCCTGGTTTGATGGTGTACACCTGTAATCCTAGCTGTTGGAAGGCTGAGACAGGAGGATTGCCACAAGTTAGAGACCACCCTGGACTACGTAGTGGACTCTGTCTTAAAAAGAAAAAATATCCCCTTTGGCAGCACAGTGTAACAGCCAAATATGCAGACTCTGGTTAGGCTGCCTGGTAAATCTTGAGCCATGTGCCTGAGTTACTTCACCTGGAAGATGAAGATAACAATACTTAACTTGTTTAGACTATCAGCGGTGTTAAACCAATATTCTTTGATTCAGGGTACCAATGCACACACTAGTTCTCCAGGTCTGCTAAAGCAGAATATTTAGTTTGAGAGTGGGAGTGGGGGAAATTTTCTTAAGAATGTTTTGATCTCACGGTAACACCTGTATGTCACATATTCTGATGACAAGACAGACCCAGGCAACTGTCTCATGCATGGATTTTCTTTCTTTTTCTTTTTTTCTTTTTATTGGCACCAGGGATCCAACTCACGACTGCCTGCTTGCAAGGCAGGCGCTTATGCCACTGAGCTAAATTGCCAGCCACCCATGCACGGATTTTCAATTCACCTCTTATTTTTCTTTTTTTTATTTAAAAAAGAGAAAAGTCAAAAGAGAAAAACAAAAAGCAAAAGGCATAAACAACAGCAAATTCAAAACAATAACAATATAGGTTTCAAAACAGAATGAAAGAAATTTAACTGGTTGTTATGTTGCATATTGTTCTCTTTTTTCTCAAAGAAAGAAAATAAAATAGAAAAACAGAAAAGAAGGGTAGGACAATGCTGAATTAAAACAATTATCATCTAGAATCACTAGTATATACATTACTCATTGTTGTCTTAAAAAACAGTTGCCAAAGTCACAAAATCAAAGCATAAACCGTGGCTAGACACTCAACATTGACAGTGCAAATCGTTCTGTTCAATGTTCCAGCAGAAATTCAGTAATATGGTCATCTGTCTTACACAATGTACATTCCATTGTATGCCTTAGAGCACTTCCCTTCCCTTTCACTTTCACAATATCTATTATACTTTTTGGATCCCATTATTCTGTCGTTTTTATTATTGTTTAGAGAGACAATGTGATAGAGTAAATAGAAAAAATAGAATTTTTTGTTTCTTGGCTATCTCTGAATTTGTTTCATGGATTCTGCTTGTTTTCTACATTGTTCATTCAAAGTTTCAATCAATTTCCCATGCTCCTGTATTTGTTTTTATCTATTTATTCCCTAGCTATGTTGAGCAAATCCTTTACTAAGGCTGTTATTTCTGTCCTTACATAAGACATTACTTTTAATTTGATTTCCCCTATAGCCTCAGGGATTTGTTTCTTTACTTTGTTTGCTATCTTTTCAGAGATTTCTGGTGTATGACTTTTAAAGTCCTCCATTTCACTGTCACCTGTTCTTGCACCTGATGGACTAGATGTTTGAGATTGCATGTTGGTTTTTCATTTTATCATTTTCACCTTCTGGGCCAATATCTGGTTATTTAATCCCAATGGTCACAACTGTTGGCTGTGTATGTCCCAGGGTCCTACTGTGTGGTTGATATTTGCCCGATTGTTGGATACGTAGTGACCGGAACCTACCAGGGTCCTCTGTCTGGACAAGGGGCCACCAAGTCTCCTGTCAAACCAGCACTGCCAGTCCACTGCAGTTCAAGGGTCTGGGAGGGAGAGTGGGAACCAAATGTTCACAGCAGTGCTTGGTCTCAGAGATGGGGAGGGTAGCTGAGGGCAGCTGGTTGAGCCAGGGTGGGTGCGGGCGCCCTCTGGGTCAGCACACTGGAGGAGTATGCTGGGTTGCAGGCGTACTCAGTGGCTCAGTGGCCTGAGCCAGGGCAGGGCTCGGTGGTCTTCCTCCACAAGGCAGAGGCCGGGAGGCACTGAGGTGCGCAGGCACGCCTAATGGCCCAAGCAGGGACGGAGCTTGGCGCTCTTCCTGTGCGCATCGGCTTCCTCCCTCACCTCTTATTTCCTGCCCTCCGTGCCATTGCTGCCTCCATACCTGGCAACCCAAGTTAGGCCACTGCAGGGCTCATGCAGGGTGAGGAGCCTCGCCCAGGCCTGTAGATATTCATGCTGCAGTACAGGGCGTCTGCTAGATGTTCTGCAGTTTAATTCAATACTGCATTGCCTAGAGGGTCACATCTCTGACAAGTTAAGGGCACAGCCTTTCCATGCCAAAGGTCTGTCCCAAGTGAGCTTTCAGCTGCTATCTTTATCTTTCCGGGTAACCTGAGATCGTTTTCTGAGGTGCTTCTCTGGCACCTAGTCTTCTTGAGGCTAAATCTTGGCTTCCTGATTTATTCTTTCTAAACTGAAAGGCCAACATTCACATCACATTTATGTAGTTCCTAATTTGGTGTTTTCCCTGATACTGGGATCAAACCCAGGAGGCAAGTACTCTACCAGTAAGCTACTCCCCCTTATTTGACTCTTTTTTCTTTCTTTCTTTCTTTTTTTTTTTTTTTTTTGTGGTACTGGGGATTGAACTCAAGACCTTGCGCTTGCTAGGCAGGCGCTTATGCCACTGAGCTAAATCTCCAGCCCCTCCCTCGTTAGACTCTTAAACAATTGTTATAACCAATTTGCTATTTTAGTTTAGTTTAGTTTAGTTTTTGAGACAGGGTTTCACTGTTCAGTTCAGGCACTTTGTAGCCCAGACTGGCTTCAAACACACAGTCATCCTCCTGCCCCTGTGTGCTGGGATGACAGGCTTGTGCCATAATGCTCAGCCCCAGTTTGCTTTTAAATTTTCCACTTCTTAAACATGAATGGAAAATCAAGGATCTCTACACACTTGAAGAAATCTGGTAATGGGAAAAATAAACATCAAGGTAAATTATACCAATCATGGAAGAAATAGATAATTCAGCAAACAAAGGAGCTAGTATCATATGAAACATTCAAGAAGTTTGCATTGGATAAGAAAAATTAGATGTGAAAAAATGAAACAGAAGATGAGAACTGTGGGAAATTGGTGAAATTTTAAAATATTGAAATATTGGAAAACAAAAGAGGAAATCCAGTAATTAGGGCAAAACCACTAAGACTATGTGTGAGGAAAAAAAGAACATAAGTGACTGACTAAATTCCCACCTAACAAGTGAGAATACCCCCCAAAAAGACAGAAATTGGCAAAGAAATGATAGAAGATAACTTGAGAGACTGAGGCAGGAGGCTCTCTATAAATTTTACCCCCCCCCCACATGATGACTTCAAGGGTAGCCTAAACTACATAATAAGACCCTGATTCAAACAAAACAAAACAAAAACCCTATACCTAGACACAATATTTGGGAATTTTATAACCTCACAGTTTAAAAGAAAATCCTAAAAGATACCAGAGTAGAAACTTGTCACCATCAAAGAAAAAGACACCAACAACATAACAACCAGTCTTTACCAACTTCAGAACAAATAGAGTTCACCAAAAAAAAAAAATGTGTGTACATGAGGCTGGGGATTTAGCTCAGTGGCATAAGCGACTGCCTTGCAAGTGTGCAGTCGTGAGTTTGATCCCCGGTACTGATAGAAACGAAAAAGACAAAAAAAAAAAAAATGTGTGTACACTTTAGGAAAAGAAAAACTCATACAAGTTTTTTATACCAGGAATCAAACTCATGACCTTACTCTTGCCAGGCAGGAATTGTGCCATTGAGCTGTATCCCAAGCCCAAAACTTATATAAATATTTTAATACTAAATGTATTCAGACATCATGAGATTAGTACGTTACCTTTTTACCTTTGGCCTCTACAGTTACAAAAGGCGCTCTCAGTGGTGTCCACCAGCTTCCTGACATTTATTACTACAGCAAACCCGTGTGTGGTCACCTTAGTCACTGAGATTGCTGCACACACATTTTTGATTTCTCCTCTCCTCTCAGGGCTGGCAGTGCAGTGGGTTTTCTGTGATGCATGGCATCCTGTAGCGTCTCTCACATGAGGGTGACCCTATCTGCGGAGGAAACAGTGTGCCATTTTCTTTTCCTGGAGTGGGTATACATTTGTTTGGTGGACTCTACTTTGTGGTGCAAGACTTGGTCGGTTTCGTGCTTCCTGTAGAGTCCAGACTGACCCTGCTTCCTCAAGACCGTACCAGTAACCTCTCCAATGTGCCATTTGTTTTCACTTTCAGTCCCTCCCCTAAAACTCTGCTCCCCGTTACCGGAGAAGCACAGGGCATCTTCCCTTGAGATGCACCCTCTCATTCTTCTTTCTTCAGCCAGCGCTCTCCCTCCAGGAACCAGGATCTGCGCACCGTCCATTTGGTGAGTAGAAATGCTTCTTCCACATCTCCCCTGGCCTCTTCCCATTCCTGCTCTTTTTTTTATTCTTTAAAGGGGCAGCCATCTTTAATGTTTCTAGCACAGGTTAACTATTGCAGGCTTTATTCACTGGCAGAAAGGCAAGCACACACAATTTAGTGTTCCCAGGTGGATGCCCGGCAGAGGAGCCACGTACATTTTCACAAAGGGTCATGTGACACAAATATACAAATATTCTGACACTTAGTATTCTTTTTTAATTTTAAAGATAAAAAAATAAAATTTCAAAACAAGAGAAGAGGGTAACAATGCTTAATACATTGCGCATTGGTATCTTTAAATTAGTTACTCTAAGTATGAGATACTTGCTTTCCATTGTCCAAACAATATTAGCACAAACCCTTCTTTTCAGACATGTAGTATTTTTAAATATTTTAAAGGACTGATAAAGTTGAATGTGTACAAAATATAAAACTGTTTACATTACAGGGAAATGATGAAAGTGTCGACAGACACTGCCATCAGGACGTGTTAAGATCTACAAGGGGAAATGCGTAATGTAAATGCAGGCAAGGGATACAAATAGGCAAAGAGCATAAATGCTCTGCTTCATGCATAACTTTGAAAATGAGTTTCAAGGGAGATGTTTTCACAATCCAACTTGGTCAGAACCTGTCCTGTAGCCTGGCAAAACCCCGTGAGAGTGGGCGCTGCCAGGGAGCAGGGAGCCAGCATTTGGTAGTGTACCAAAGCAGCCGTGCCGTGAGCCCTGTTGGGTGTGTGTGAACACAGCCGAGGTGAGCAGTTACAAACTTTATGCATGGTGACACTTCCTGGACACCTCTGCTGTGCCGGTGAAACAGTCAGCACAGATTCCTGGGTAGAGAGGCTCTGTAATGTCACCAGTGCCCTGCCATGCAGCACAGATGTGGAAGAGGCTCGTGGCCTTCAGAGGACTCGTTGTGCACACATAGATCAGGCTGCAGATGTGGCTGCATCGCTGTCTAGGGAATGACAGTACAGGCTTTTGCTCTAAGCTTCTATAGTGTCTGTAATCAAAAAAGGCATTCCATCCCTTTACAAGTAACAATCATTTGAGAAAAGACTACAGTTTCCTCCTGAGTGCTCCAAGGATCCACCTTGGGTTAGGAAGTGATGGGGACCCAGGCTCAGCTCTGCCTTGTGCAGAAGAAAGAGCCCATGGCTCCCTGAGGCCTGACTCTTGCTGCGCAAACCTACTGGAGAGGTGTGGTGCCTCTGGCATTGAAGGTCCCACCCTTCTGTGCACCCCTCTGTGGGAAGGCAGGAACACATGCAGTGACCCTAATGTGAACCCCAAAAAGTCCCTGGAAAGGACAGAATACCTTCTCAGATAGTGATCCTGCTGCAGTTCATAACCCTCACAGAAATGCAGTCCAGGTTTCCAACACTTGATCCTTAAATGTTCTCAAAGCCCTGCCAAGGGGATCACAGCGGCAGCCCTGTCCACCTTTACTGGCTGCCCTGGAAGGCAGGCCACCTGTCTGGCCAGCAAGCCCACACTGTTCACAGGAAGTGAGGGGACTGTGTGGTCTCAGAGCCCCATGGGGACACCTGGTCCCAAAGGCCAGGGATTACAGCTGCTGTTTCAGCCTCCTCCAAGAAAGCACTGGGCTCTGACTTCTGCACAATCCTGGCTCTTCTGTCTGTGTGTGTTCTTCTTGTTTCTCTCTTTGGAGGCAGCCTGGCGGGGAAGAGGGAGGACAGACCCTGGGGTCACATAGACGTGGGTTTAAATCCTGGCTCTGTGACATATTTTCCCTGTTGGTGTTCTTAGTACTTTTAGTCAAAGAACATCAGGTCTGGAAAGGGCCTCCAAAAATCATCTTTTCCCCCTGGAAATGGTCCCAGGACTAGCAAAACCAGCCACCAAGGTTAGTCACAACACTGATCTCAGTCAGAGTGCTGTGAGCTTGTGCTTAATTATCTCTGGAGAGGCCCCAGCTCTGTGGGCATTCACTGGCCAAGTGGAATGAATGTCCCAACACTTGATTAATGGGACACTGGCTAGGTTTGAGAGACCAGGGTATCTTGGAGGAGCTGTGATCAGTTTACATCACAGTGGTTCGTTACCTGGAGATGAAGCTGGTCTCATGGGACTATGAAAGGGTCCCAGGAACTAAGCTGCGCGAGGTTCTTCCTTTGGTCTGTCACAAGTTTTGAGCTTTATCAAAGCTTTAGGTAGGTGTACTACAGAGAGCCTCACAAGTTTCTATCGATCGTTCAACCTTTTGTCATTGCTGAAGATGGTACTGCGAATAGGATCACTGAAATAAATGTTTTACTTTATAACATTTTTATTTTAAAGAGAATAAAACCAAGCAAAATAAAACAGAATAAAACCAATCAAAACAAACCAGTGTGACACAGAACTTCAAAACAATAGGAAATCAACAATGTTACCATAATACCTCTTGTTGTCTTCAAAATATTTTAGACATAATAAAAATCAAACAGAACAGAACAGAATAGAACCAACAAAAACAAAACAATGCATGTAATAAAGGACTTCAAAACAAGATAATAGTAAATCCAAAATGGCTGCAATAATATATCTTGTCATTCTTGACATAGCTGCCCAAGCCATCAGATATAATAAAATCAAACAAAACAAAACAGAATAAAACCCAACCCAACAAGCAATGAAAGTGACACAGAACTTCACAACAAGATAGTAGGGAATTAACAATGGCTACCACCTTCAGAAGGAGATCCCCTATAGATGCTATATTGTATATTTTTATCCTTTGAATTGATGATCAGACTACCAGGTTTAGACCTGCAAAGTCAGTGAAACACTAAACACTAAAAGCATGAAGTTGTATTTTACCTCAATAGCCATCATTGTAGCCTGTGCTTCTCTGGTTCAGCCAGTTGCTTACAGTGGGGGAGGGGAGGTTATTTGACTGTTCCTGTTTCCCGGCCTGTGTGCTGGTAAGGAACCAGCTCTCCCCCTACCAGCCCATGCATGGCACCTATTTGCAGAAAGGGCTTGCTTTTTGGTGACTTCTTGTTCTCTTCCCCTGCAGTCTGCTACTTTATCAGTTAAATGATATTAAAGGCTTTATCTGGGAGGGAGAAATGTTTCACACTTGGTGCCAGGCTGGTTGCTAGTTTGAGTTCACTTAAGTACTGAAATTCTTCTTAAGAGGAAGCACTTCTCAGTAGAACCTGAATGTGGTAGCTCCAAAGCCAGAGGAAATAGCTAAGTTTAGAGGAAGTTAGCCAAGAATACTGTATGTTTGCTGGTGTTGTGAAAACAAAGTAAGCAAGGAAGAATGCCCACCTGACAGTTTGTCCTGCTACTACTAAAGTGCTGGTCTGATGGGGTCCTGCCTGTCCTCCTGTGGGTGATCACCAAAGACTCATTGTCTGGAGAGACCATCACGAGACAACAGAAAGAACCATTTACAAGCAAGATAACCTGTGGAGTAATGTAGAGTGCTTCCTAAAGAACCACTGCTATAATGAACCTTACCAGAGACCAAGAAGCTCTTTCTTTTTGATTAGGTACCATCTCGTGCTTCAAATGAAAGGGCATGCTTGGTCTTAATATAGGACTTCAACTCACAACAGGTTTTGCAGAAGTGCAGGTGATGGGCAAATTCCAAATTGGATGAGCTAGGTAACATTCTGGGTATAGGAAATCTATCACTTAACTTTACCTATAAGTGAGGTGGCTGAAATGTTAAGAATGCGAACAAGGGCCTTTGAACTGGTTCCATCATGCTACTAGGGCTCCTGATTTCACATCTTTGACCTAAGAGACACTGTGACAGGAGGTCTCTGACCACTCAGACTCCTCATGTTGGGAGAGGAGCGCAGGAACCGTTGCAGGCAGAGCAGCCCATCTGCTCTGCGTGTGTGAGAAGATCAGTACTGTCCCTAAGAAAAGAAACAGTTGAATAAAAGAGACATTAAAATGTCAGGGACTAGCCAGTCAGGTGGAAGTGTTCTGACGGATAATTAGAATGGCATGAAAGGGCTGGGGTGTAGCTTGGTGGTGAAGCATTTTCCTAGCAAGTGCAAAGCCCTGGCATCAGGCCCCATCACATCAAAATAAAACAAGGAAATAACATGAAAAAGGAAGGAAATGGAGGCACAGCAAAATGTTAACATATCACTGTAAGATGGTTTATATAGTGCAGTGGTGAATCTTTTGTTTTTTAATAGTATATTTTTATGAAAAAATTTCAAAGCAAAATAATTGGAGAATAATAGTTAACACATTGCATATTGTTATCTTTAAATAGTTACGCAGAGTACAAGATATACATGTAAAAAATTTTCCAAATGGTATGAGCACAAGCCTTTCTTTTCAATGAACTAAGAGAAACTAGTAGTATAACCATCTTGTACTTTTTTTCCTTTACCTTTCCTTCCTTTCCTCTTTCCCCCACACTAGTTCCTCTTTCCTTTTGAACAGGTCCTTCCCATTTCACAATATTGTAAATTTTTGACCTTATTTACTCTTTCGGTTTCTCAAACCAGGAACATATGATGTTTACACATGTGAGTCTGATTTATTTCACATGTGAGTATGGTCTTGAGTTACATCCATTTACCTAGAGATGTCTCAAGCTTAACTTTCTTTATGACTGAGTCATGCTCCATTGTATAAAAATATCACATCTTTTTTTACCCATTCCTCACCTGATGGGCATTTGGGTATTTCCAAGATTTAGCTATTACAAATTGGGCTACTATAAACATGGGTGCACATATATCACTGTGGTATGATCTTTTTAATTCTTCTGGGAAGGTACCCAGAAGGGTAATAGCTGGATTGAATGGGACCTATAGTCCTAGTTCTTTGAGGAATCTCCACACTGATTTCCACAGTGGTTATACTAGTCTACACTTCTACCAGCAGTGGAAAAGGGTTCCTTTTTCCCGATAGCCCCAGCAGCATTTGTTAGACTCTCTCTCTCTTTCTCTCTATACTGGGGATTGAACTCATGACCTTACACTTGCCAGGCAAGCACTTGTGCCACTGAGCTAAATCCCCAGCCACATTTGCGTCTCTTTAATGATGAGCCTTTTAAAGATGAGTGCCAACCTGCAATCCTGTGTGGGTATGGTGGCACACACTTATAATCCCAGCACTCAGGAGGCAGAGGCAAGGGGATCACCATGAGTTCAAGTTCAGCCTGAACTACGCAGAGAGACCCTGTCTCAAGAAAAAACAAAGCAGGACTAGGGATTTAGCTCAGCAGTGTAAGCACCTGCCTAGCAAGCATGAGAGCGTGAGTTTGATCCCTGGTACTAAAAATAAATAAATAAACATAAAAAAGAAAAAGAAAAAACAAAGTACAACTCCAAACCCATTTGTTTATCACAAAATGCCAGCACTGCAATTAAATCTGAGTACTGAGGTTTTAATTTAGGAAAAACAACTTAAACATTACCGTCTTTTGTCTTTAAAAAACAACAACACAGCAACAAGCACCACCACTGATGGAGTGGTTAGGTGGTCTGTCTGCTCCAACCTTTCCTCATACCGTCCAAGACCACAATAGATTTCTAATTTACTGTAATGACACAAATCTGTCCCTTCAAAGCAATCTGCTGTGAAGAAGAGGCTGGTGAGTTCTGGTGCTACCCTTGCCAGGGACCTGAAGACCTTTGTACTGGTAAAGATAAAATAGCCTGAGAGTGGCAGGAAAACCTCACTGGCATTTTGGACCAGAATGCAAATGCATTGCTGAGTGCAGGCCTGCTGATGAGAAGTCAGGGGGTGCCCATCTGGTGAATGTGATGGGACAGTGCCGCTGTGGCTGCAGGAGCGAGACATTTCCACAGGAAACACGTGCTCGGAGTGCACTTTAGCGCTGTTCACAACCCCAAGTGTAAACAAACCCGGTGTGGACAAGTAGGGAGATGAACTGTAATACAGCCACAGAACGGAGCAGGGTTTGACCACGAAAAGGAACGCTACCCTAGTACCTAATAGGTGTGACCCCGGGCTGACCCTTAATGTTAAACGAATGTGCCTAGACATCAATTGTTTAGGAAAAACAACTTAAACATTAGTGTTTAAGAGAAAAATGATAGAGAATTTCAAGACACAATAGAGATTAACAATGGTAACCATATTGTGCATTGTTGTTTTCAAAGTGCTTTTTTTTTCTGGTATCAGGAATCAAACTCAGCACCTTGCGCTTACCAGGCAGGCGCTGTGCCATTGAGCTACATCCCCAGCCCTCAAAGACCACAGGTTGTATGATTTATATGAAATGTTGGCAATAAGTATATTTCTTGTTATTATTGAATTTTTATTTCCTTTTTTTTGAGGTAGGGCCTCTCATGTAGTTCAGGCTTGTTTTGAACTCATTCGTTATGTAGACCACACTGGCCTTGAACTTGTAGTGATCCTTCTGCCTCAGCCCCCTCACTGCTGGGATTGCAAGTGTGTGCCCTCACATCTGGCTCAAAATAAATATATAGAGAGTAGATTAGTCCTGGCATAGGGCTGGGTGGGTGTAGGAAACATAGGAAGTTACTGCTAATGAACACAGCATTTCTTTGGGGAGTGATAAGTTTAAAATTGATTGTGGTGATGACTGCACAAGGCTACGACTATGTTCAGCTCTATAAAGTAATAAATTTTAAATGGGTGATTTATGGTATGTTGATTATATCTCAATAAAGTTGTGATTTAAAAAGTAGGGAGTGACCCAAAGTGGGACATTTTAAGAGCAAACTTTATGTAAGTGTTGTGTCATCTTTCATTGACACATTGTTAGAATGAATGTGATATCTGAATTAACACATCCCTTGCCCAACCCTTTAAGAAAAGATTTCATGCAGAAAATCTGGTCTTCATCTGATTTTAATGAGTGATGTAAGATGAGAATCCTTTTTTTTTTTTTTTGGTCTTTTTTGAGACAGGGTCTCACTATGTAGTTAAGGCTGGCCTTGAACTCATGGCCTGGAACTCGCAGCAACCCTCCTGCCTCAGCCCTCTGAGTGTGGGGATTACAGGCATGTGCTACCACACTCAGCTGAGAACTTTAGAATTATCTAAGCCTATCCAACTATGTATTCAATAGGTAACAGTACAAGATATTTAGGAAACAGCCAAGAGATTCAGCCCTAATTAAGGACATAGTAGATGCAGATGTTCTAGTATGATAAACTGTTTATTAAAAAATACGGTAGAAGCTGGGGGTGATAGTGAACACCTGTGATCCCAGCACTCTGGGAGGCTGAGGCAGGAGGATCACAGGTTCAAGGCTGGCCTGGGCAACTTAACCACTTAACAAGACCCTGTCTCAAAAGTAAAAAGATTAAAAAGCCTGGGATGTAGCTCAATGAAAAACCCTGTGTTCAATCCCCAGTACAAAAAACTCCAGAAGTCCAAAAAGCATGCGACTGCCTCAGTCATTATTCTTTGGGAAATGTAGCCTGGGAAATAAAGACTAAGAACAAAGACTTTGTTCTAAGCATATTGAACTTTGTTGATGAAGAGAAAAATGGCAACAACCTAAGTGTCCTACATGAAGCCATTCAAAAGTACATAGAGCTATGTATTTATCAATATGATGATGTTTTATATTTTTTGATTAGGTAAGTAGTTTATAAAGTGAAATGCATAGCATCTATAGCCATAATTATGGGGCCTCTTGAGCTTGTGCACAGAGCACTACGGCTTGGAAAGTGGACACTGAGAACAATGTTTTAAAAATGAGTAATTTCATCAAACCGTTGCTGTGGAGCACACGCTTTCCCCTGCGTTTGTGCCTCCTTGACAGGGACGCTAACCCCTCTTGTTTCAGAAAATGAGCGCCCTGGGCGAGGCGGAGGAGAGGATCTCCCAGTTTGACTACAGCCTGGCCCCGGAAATGTCGGCGCTCCTGGGCGTGGACGCCTTGGCCTTCATGAAGCTGCGGGAGGAGAAGGAGCACAGAGAGCGGGCGCGGATGCGCAAGAGCTTCAACCCCCGGATGCGCAGCGAGGCCCGCCGGCTGAGGACCTTCGCCACCTACCACCCGTACAGCTCCTGGACGCCGCAGGACATGGCAGCAGCGGGCTTTTACTTCACCGGGGTGAAGTCCGGGGTTCAGTGCTTCTGCTGCAGCTTGATCCTCTTTGGCTGCAGCTGCAGGAAGGTCCCCGTGGAGCACCACAGGGAGTTCCGCCCGGGCTGCCCCTTCCTGCTGGGCAGGGACGTGGGTAACTTCAGCAAGTATGACGTGCGGGTGAAGACCCCAGGCAAGGAGCCCAGCGGTGGCCGAGCGAGGTACCGCGAGCAGGAGGCCAGGCTCGCGTCCTTCGAGAACTGGCCCTTCTACGTCCACGCAGTGTCCCCGCGGGGCCTCGCAGCTTCCGGCTTCGTCTTTACAGGTAACTTGAAATCATCTCCTACAGGGCTTCTCCCTAAGTTTTAACTTGAGGTTCCATGCTTTGGTTGCTCTTGAGCTGCTTTGTGAATCCTTCATTGCTTCTTTAATGTGTTGTATTAGACAAAAATCTATTTTGTTAAAATTCTGCTTCAAGCAGAGTGTGGTGGTACAGGCCTGTAGTCCGGCACTTGCAAGGCTGAAACAGGAGGATTGCCCAGAATTTTAAGCCAGTCTGGGCTATACAGTGAGTTAAAAGCCAGCCTGGACTACATAGCATGATCCTGACTCACTAAATAAATAAATAAAATAAAAACAAGCGAAAAAACCCCACCAAAATTCCACTTCAGTAATTTTTCTTGATTTTTTTTGTGCACCTTGTGTTAATTCGTCAAAGCTATATAAAACCAGAGGACGATCTTTCCATATATAGGGGCCTTAGGTGACACAGACTGTGTTCTTTAGGCTCTGATGCTGCTGTTCAATCCCAGTATCCTCAGGAATAAGGAGCTCTTCACTGCTCTCAAATAAGCTTCCTTTGATTTTTAAAATTCCTACAGTTTTTGAAGGTGTTTTAAAAAATCAATCTCTTTGTGTCTCTGTGTCTCTGTCTCTTTGTCTGTCTCTGTCTCTCTGTCTGTCTCTCTGTCTGTCTCGTGTCTCTGTCTCTCTCTCTCTCTCTCTCTCTCTCTCTCTCTCTCTCTCTCTCTCTCTCTCGGTACAGGGGATCAAACAATGTCACACTTGCCAGGCAGGTGCATGTGCCGCTGAGCTATGTCCCAGCACCTATGTGTTTATGTCTTGGCCTCACCATGGATGCTGACAGGCGACTGAGGCTTCCTAAGAGTGACTGTGGCTTACTGAGCGGCTGCTTCATGCGAGGCGCGGATGAACTCCAATTCCGCGCCAACCCATTTGCCCCTTTCTTTCCCAAGTCACAGTTGTTTTCATCAAGACTCAGAGACCTTTGAGTTTTTGTTTTCACCAAGAATCAAAAAAAGGGCCTGCATTTTACAGAATCGCTGTGGAGAAACTAACAGCGAAGGTTTGCAGCTGCGGAGCTCAGTGGACTGCATGTGCACATGCCGGGGCTCGTGGGGCGCAGCAGGGCTGACCGGGTGGCCGAGCGCTCCTGGAGGAACAGCATGCGGGGCAGCTGGGCCCTGAGGAGAGCTGTCACCTCCCGGGGCCCCTCAGGGCCGCTGCTGGCCCACTGAGCCGCTGTCCTGTGTCCACAGGTCACAGGGACACCGTGCAGTGCTTCTCCTGCGGCGGATGCTTAGGAAACTGGGAAGAAGGAGACGATCCCTGGCAGGAACATGCCAAGTGGTTTCCCAAGTAAGAGCTTGCATGTTTTTCTGCTAATACTGCTCAGGTCTGCTTTTGTGTTGTGCTTTTTTCCTTTGTTTGTTTCATTTTGCTTTGTTCGTTTTATCTGGCAGTGCTGGGGATTGAACCCCGGGGATGCTCTACCACTGAACCTTTCATTTTATATTTTAATTTTGAGACAGGGTCTTGCTAAGTTGCTGAGGCCAGGATCAAACTTGGAGTCCTCCAGCTTCAGACTCCTCAGTAGCTGTGATTACAGGTGTGTAGAAACACACCCCTCTACGTTTTTTAGTTTTCTATAGAGACAAAGACAAAGAACCTTGCTGGAGTATCCACTTCAGGTTGAATTACTCCCTCTCCAAAATTGGACCACCCCAGAATTATCCAGGTAGAAGAGGCCTAGTTATACCATGAGAAGTTTGAAGTTTGTGACCCTAAACAGTTTTTGAACATTATTTTATTATGCCAAATACCAAGGTATGTTTTGCCAGGTAGAAGTTTCCATGATTTACCTTAATTAGGAAGATACTTTGCATAGGCCTAATGAACAGTGACTGAAAAGGAAGTTAGAAAGTAAGTGAAATGTGTAAGACATTACAGCTCGGCTGGACACGGCAGCACATGTTAGGAAGCTAAGGCAGGAGGATTGCCAGAAGTTTGAAGTTTGAGGCCAGTCTGGACTACATAGTGAGTTCAAGATCAGCCTGCACTATGTAGCAAGACCTTGTCTCAAAGAAAGAAAGAAAGAGAGAGAGAGAGAAAGAACCTCCCAGCACAGCAAAGCAACAACAAAACTGAGAGCTAAGCGTGGCAGCACATGCCTGTAATCTCAGCACTTGGGAAGCTGAGGCAGGAGGATTGCCTTAAGTTTAAGACCAGCCTGGCTGGACATACTCAGTTCAAGACCAGCCTGAATAACATAGTGACTCTATCTAAAAGTAAAGTAAAATAAAATATTATTATAAATCATTGTACACACTTGTGAAAATGCACTGAATGAAAATGTTTTCTATCAGAAACTCAGCTTTTATTACTACAGTGGTCTTTAAGTTCCCTACTTAGAAAAGAAAAATGTTAGCCAGATGTGGTGATACATGGCTGTGGTCCTAGCACTTGGGAGGCTGAGGCAGGCACATCACTGTGAGTTTGAATCCAGCCTAGCTACATAGTGAGACCCTGTCTCAAAAGAGAGAAAGAGAGAATGAAATGTATTTATTTTTTGTATTTTGACTATTTTTAATACTATCATTACTAGTATCTTCTACATGACTTTGTTTATAGATTATTTTAGTAAATTTTTAAACTTTAATTTTGGAGAGAATAATATAGTGAATGTTTGTTTCAACACATGGCCAAATCATATGTCGCCCACCTTTCTCCCCCTGGAATTAATATTAGCCAGATTATTGTAAAGCCAACCCCAGCTAGTTCATAATGTTAATATTTTAGTATATAGCTAAATTCTAAGAATATGTCTTAAAAACCATAACTACAATATCACTAAGTCTCCTTGAAAAATACCAACCGAGTCAGAGCTCCAGCGCTGTCACCCTCCCTCTTTCTCTTGCAGTTTTTATTCATCACCTTCACCATCTCCCCCACCCATTAATTCAGGAAAGAATCTAAATTCTCTGCCATGTAAAGTTGCCTGTTCTCTAGATTTGGCTGACTGTATTTCTGTGGCACGAGTTAATATTTCCTACTTTGTTTTTTTTTTTTGAGACGGGTCCCACTATGTAGTTGAAGTTGGCCTTGGACTCACTGTGTAACCTAGGTGGCCTCAAACTCATGGCGATCCTCTTGTCTCAGTCTCCTGACTGCTGGGATTACAGATGTGCGCCACTACACTGGGTGGGCTGTGTTCCTCTAGTTTCTCTGTTCCAATAACCTGACCCTTGGATTAGTTGTTTGAAAAGGTTCAGGTTCTCTTTTCTTGAACAAACCTCTGTCTACTGCTTGTGAGAAAGTGGCTGGTTAGATTCTGGATCAGCCCTACAAGGACTGGGCAGGTGTTTACATCTGTAAGTCATCTTGTACTGGGCAGCCAGGCAAACAAAAAGGGAGGGTAACTATGATAGCTAAGTAGAAAAGGCAACATGAACTATAACAGATGTATCAAAGCCTTTTAGAATAACTAGGTGTGGTGGCGCACACTTGTAATCCCAGTTGTTTGAGTGGCTGATGCAGGAGGATCAGAGTTTCAGGGCCTGCCTGGGCAATGCAGCAAGACCTGACCTCAAAGGAGGACAAAAAGGGGCTGAGATATGTGTAGGTCAGTGGTACAGCGCTTGTCTAAGATACAGGAGGCCCTGGGTTTAATTCCCAGCACTGCAAAAACAAACAAACATGCAAACAAAAACATTGTAATGCCTCAAATTAGATAAGGGCTTGTTTGAAAATCTATAGAATAAATTATGAAGCAATAGATATTATAGGTTGGTTTTGTGAGTTGGGGGAGAGATAATCTGAAGATTTAATTTTAAATAACCACACATGTTATTGCTGATAAGAATAAACAGTAACTCATCAGAACAGTGACAGTTCTCAAAGTAGGTTTCGTGGTAAAACATTTTGACAGTTTTATAGAAGGGTGACTTCAACAGTTCATTATGTTTAATGTGATCCACAACATTTATGTCACAGTGTAAAGTTTAATTACATTTTAAATTACAGATGTGAATTTCTTCAAAGTAAGAAGTCCTCAGAGGAAATTGCTCAGTATATTCAAAGCTACCAGGGATTTGTTGGCGTGACGGTAACTTATAAATGAGAATTATTTCCGCAGTCTGTCTTTTTTGATTGCCTAGTACCTGAATCCTAAGTGGAGAGGCATTCTTTTTATGTTGTGGGTTTTTTTCTTCTTTCCTTTCTCTTTGGATTCTTCTGCTTTTCATCTGCAGAGTAGTTAAAAAAAGAAAATGATGTTTTACATTCTTTTGCTACTCCAGAGCGCTTAGTAGTCCCTTTTCTAGGGACTGGAGAAAGCTGGCCTTTGACAGCTCTGCCTGCCCTTCTGATCATCACTCTGCAGCTGAGGCCATGCTCCCAGCGCTCTGCTGCTAGTAAGGTGCCCTGGCCTGGTAGCACTACCACTGAGGGCTCCTGCTGGGTCTTTAACCTGCAGGAGTCAGGGTTACAGGAAGTGAGCAGAAACCCAGGTCAAACTGGCTGAAACTACAAAGATTTATTTGCTATGTGAATCAGAAGACCAAAACCCTGTAAAGAGCATGGGCTGAATGCCAAGCATGGTGGCACATGCCTGGAATCCTGGCACTCAGAAGGCTGAGGCAGGAGGATCACTGTTTGAGGTCAGCCTGTGCAATATAGTCAATTCAAGGCTAGCTTGGACTTGAGACCCTGTCTCAAAATTTAAAAAAAAATAGAACAAAACAACAACATGCATGGAAAGTAGAGGAGGAAGAAATCTGGGTGCAGTTATCTCAGAGGGATTAGTTGCTCAGTGCATAACTCTTCTGAGTTCACTTTCCTTGTTACATCTTTCTTAATTAATCAAAATTCTGTGGTATCAAACGCAGTTCTGTTTGTAAGCTGTGAAAAGGGGCCTTCAGGAAGTTTCCCCCTGAGTTCCAGTACACATTTCACTGCTGCTGTTTTAAACTGCATTAAAAACATTTTCTAGCTGGGTGCCATGCATTTGTAATCCCAGCACTCTGGAAGGCTGAGGCAGGATGATCAAAAGTTGAGCTTAGCCTAGAAATTTAATAAACTTTGTCTTAAAATTTTAAAAAGGGCAAGGAATATAACTCAATGCAAAGGCCTGAGTTCAACTTCGAGTTCAAAAAATTTTTAAAATTCCCTAATTCAATTAAGGATATGCTTCTTTAACAACTCTGCCATTCTGCGTAACGAAACTCTTCATGGCAGGAGAGGAATGGTTTCAGGTCTTATTCCTAGATAGGTGTGTATCAAATAAGCTAAACAATTAGTAATATATATTTATTTTTCCTCAGGGAGAACATTTTGTGAATTCCTGGGTCAAAAGAGAATTACCTATGGCATCAGGTAAAAAGCCAGGTGTATTCCAAAGGCTTTGCTTGTTTATTTCTTCTTTTGCTTTCTTGCTCCCCATTGTGTTCCATGTTCTTGTTTGGTACTGAGGACTGAACCCAAAGCTACAGCCACCAGCCTTTTTATGTTTTGGGACAGGGCCGTGGAAGCTGCTAAGTGGCCCAGGGAGAGTTGGACTGCCTGTCCCCAGAGTGTGGGGACTCTCGGCCTGCTCCCGTCGTTTGCTTTCTAACACTTCCATCTTGCACCTTACTTTACAGCACCATAATTCTTTTCAGAAATCACTTTCATAAGAGCTATTTGCTCTCACGGAGTGACTCAGTTTTTAGTAAGGATGAGCCCAGGAAAATACGTTACGGTTGATTCCTCCACTAACCCTTTCCCTAAAAAAACTGAAGTTCCTGAATAAAGTGTTTTGAAAACATTCTCAAATGGCTCAGCATGGCAAGAGATGAATGAATGTTCACATTAGCTGTGAAATATCTAGCATGTGCCTGCGATCCCAGCACTCAGAAAGCTGAGGCCGGAGGACCGAGAGCTCAAGGTCAGCCTGAGAGCTACGGAGCAGGAGTCTGCCCCAAACAGAACAGAAGGGAATAGTGAGGCGATGGCAAGAGAGCTTCCATCTCGGGCTACCTGATGCCACAGCCCTGAAGCCCAGGCCAGCCCAAGGGAGCAGCCTGTGGGAGCCCCCCATGGTGACACCCAGAGAAGCAGGAACCCAGCTGCCTTTCTTTTATTCTTATTTCATGGGAATAAAACCCAACAAAACCAAACAAAACAAAATAAAACAAATAAAAAAAAGCAGTGAAAGTAATGGAGAACTTCACACCAGGATAATATGAAGTCAACAATGGCAACCCTAGTGTATCTTGTTATCTTCACAGTAGTTGTCCATTCCATCAGACATGGTAAATTCAAATAAAACAAAACAAAGTCAAATAAAACCAATCAAAGCAGAACATTGAATAAAACATAAAATAAACCAGAACAAAACAAAGCAATGAGAACAATATTGGATTTTAAAAACAAGAGAGAAGGAAATCCCCCATATTTGCTATATTGCATACTGTTACCTCTTAATAGATGCTCAGACTGATGGCCCCAGGCCTGCACGGTCAATCAAACCATACCAGCATTCGGTTGTTTTTGTACCTCAGTTGCTATCAGCTCAGCCTGTCGCTGAACCAGTCTCTGGCTTATGGTGGGGGCGCTTCTTGATTCTCAGCCCACGTGCTAGTTGACTCACAGGAGGGGCAATCGGGCGTCTCTCTTCCTGGGCCCCGCACGGTTTGCATGGCTTACAGGAAGGGCAAACTGGTTGCTTCTTGATGTGCTCCTGCCAGACCCAGCATGGCCTCTGCTGATTCACAGGAGGCCCTACTGCCTTTCTTAAGGGCACTTCTGGGGAAAAATCCTCTATCTCAGTCATGACACTGACCTTCGAAGGATAGAATTTCCTCTAGCTTTTCCTTGTTTTATTCTGGTGCTAGATGGTAAGGCAGTAATTTCAAGATGTGCTTCATTATGGCACATTTCAGACATATCCAGAACTAGGGTACTAGAATATGCACACCAAACATCCAAAACAACTTCCACGGTGCTAGCACTTGGCTAATCTCACTTCAGCCGCATCCTTTCCCGCTTCTCATGCTGTTATCCTGAGAACAGCTTGGTATCTTGGGTTGATGTCTGTAAATTCAGAGGGAACCTGCACTGTAGCCCAGTAACACTCACCGCTGTCCCCTGCTGATTTCTTTCAAGCTTATGACAACGACAGCGTCTTCGCCAATGAGGAGCTCCGACGGGACACTTTTAAGAGCTGGCCCGGAAAGTCCCCAGTAGCAGTGGCAGCCCTGGTCAAAGCAGGCCTCTTCTACAGAGGTGAGCAGCACCTCTCGCCAACCTACCTGCTTGGCCATTCAGACCCCATGTGGAGTTAGGAGTCCTGCACTGCGTTGATCTAGAGTCCACAAGCTTCCCTCTTTTTATCAGTCCTTTGGTGTCCCTTTTAAGTCTCCTCTCTATTCTCTATGTGGCTGAAAATAAGCCTCAGACTCAATTATCAGGGCTGGAAAGAATGCACTGACGCGAGGCAAGTGATCTCGACAAGGTTTTTCTCTACTTCTGCAGGAGGCTGCAAGCACGCGGTACCAGGTGCACAGGACAAAGGAAGGCCATCCGTTTTCTCCTGAAGGCAGCAGAAGCAGCTGGCCTTCGCATTTAGTGGCTGAACTTACTTCTCTTAGTTGACTAATTCAGGTGGGGGTTGAGGGTGTGCTCCCAGTAAGTCAGAGAGAACAGGTGTGGGGTTTGGGCTGCAAGTCCTTGGTTCTCATTTTGGAAACCAGCTGTGTTTGGGGAGAAGGTAGGTAGTCACCGTTTCTTAGAGCTCAGGAGATTAATGGGGGGGGGGAGTTGAGTAGATGCCAGAACATTTAAACCCCAAATGGAGTTGTTTTGGCCTTGTGCTTTGACAGAAAAGACTAGCCCTGTTTCTCACAATGCCCTCCCCCTTAGACATGAAACTCCAGACTTGAAAGCCTAACCTAGATGAACACTAAGTACATGACATCTTTTGTGATGATTATCAAGTCATTTCCTTTCTATATAATATTCTCCCTGCTCCTTGTCCCATACTTCTGCCTTAAAAGTCACATTTCTGTTTATATTTCCTTAACTACAGTTTAATTAAGTGGCCTTATGCACCTATAAATCAGAGCTGGAAGCTGGATGTGGTGGCACACACCTGTAATCCCAGCACTCAGGAGGCTGAGGCAGGAGAACTGCCATGACTCTGAGTTTACATAGTGAGTTCAAGGCCAGCCTGAACTACATGACAAGATCCTGTCTAAAAACAAGTAAAGAAAAAGAAAAGGTGAACTGGAAAACCTCACGTTTTCCCTGGGTGGTGATGTGCCCTGTTGAGATTGAGGCTTCTGTTGCTGTGGAAGAATGGGAGAGACCGGGAGGTGTGGATAGCAGTCTTTGCCACATTCAGTTCAGAGGAGAAAGTCAGTGATTTCTGCCTAGGCCTGCACAGCCAGCAGGGTCCTAAGAGGAAATGACAGGAGATTACGAAAACACAAGACACCTAGACAAGAGCTGGGACTGGGTGGGACCTGGCTTCTCTGATGGAGAGGCAGTGACAACTCAGCACATCTGAGTCTTTATTTGTACATGGTATAAAGGGGAAAGGCCACAAGGGGGCCAAAAGTGCAAAGTCTCAGTGTTTTGCTGAGAACACTGAAAGTGACACATCCTCAGAGCTTCTGTGCTGTATAACAGGGAGGAAACCAAGGCGGATACCTGCTGATATGTCACTGAGCTAGAAGACACCATGTTTCCATGGTCTGCCTCTGGCATTCCAGGTTCCTGGGACTGGCTTTGCTCTAATCCCAAGGAGTTCCCTGACCTCCAGCTCAGCCACTCAGCACAGAATTCATGCTCATGATTCTGAAGCACACAACACCTTCCATCAGTTCTCTGTACTAAGAGTGGCTGCTCTACTGTTCATCCCCAAAGCCTGTCCCCTCTGCAAGGTCTCTGCCTGAAGGGAACAGGGAGGGCATGGCATGCCTCCCTAGGTACCAGATGCACCCTGAGATACCACGAGCCCTCTGGTGGGGAAATCATGGAGCTAGCAGACACACCAGAGCAGGTCTGGATTGGAGAGTGCAGCTCTGACGTTAACAGACTTTTTTTTTTTGTACTGGGAATTGAACTCAGGATCTTGTGCCACTGAGCTCTATCCCTGACCCTCACAAACATACTTGATTGGCCTACAAATCTTAATGGCTCACAATCTCCAGCCTTTGGAGAGTGAGCACTCTGCCCTTGCTGCACGCGCTGGCTGCTCATTTTGTGTGCCGCAGGCTTTCTCCAGGTCCCTTTCCTGAGTGTTCATCCTCTCCTCACACATTGTATGTCTGACATCTTTAGGGTCCTGAATGCTCCAGGACCTCATAATTTTTGTCCAGACACAAAGCAGGGCTTTGTCCCAGCTGTTCAGAACTTCCAGGGTCCAAGTGTGGGAGGAAGATGATGGGTTCCAATTTGGGGTCTTGAAGAACCAAACAGTGGCTTCCCTCCAAGAAATACAGCCCACAAGGGGCTTGGTCCTGTGTCCGGGGAATAAATGCCGCAATGGTGTGGTAAGAGCAAGTGATTCTGCATGAAGTTGCTGATATGTGTTGCATTTGCTTATTGTGTTTTTATTTCCCTGTGTTCCAGATCTGTTTTCTCTGACTTATTCATTAAATAATCCCAGGCTAGGGATATAGCTCAGTGACATAAGCACCTGCCTGTCAAACGAAAGGTCCTGAGTTTGAGTCCTGGTACACCAGAAAACAAAACAAAACAAAAATACCGATTGCCAAAGAAATGTTAGGAACTCTCTTGAGCTCATGAGATTTGTTAGAGTGAAGGATAGTCAAAACTCTCTTCCCCATGGAGCGTCTCTTCTAGGTGCTGGCTGCAAATCTCTCCATTGCCTGGGTGGCAGGCAGGGCAAGAGTGTTTATTAAAACATACAGTACGGAACGCATTGGGTGACCATGCTGATGACACCATCCTGGACCAACAGCCTTACACAGCCCACTGTCTAATAAAGGCCTAGTGGTTGTGACCAGCATGTCAGTCAATGAAGGCACGTGCCTCAAATGCTAATCAGCTCTCCTTCCGCACAGGGGTGGAGGATGAGGTACAGTGCTTTTCCTGTGGAGGATGCATGAAAAACTGGCAGGAAGGGGATGACCCCTTGGCAGATCATACCAAATACTTCCCCAGGTGAGCACAGTGGCTGTCTAGGGCCCGTGACTTCATGTGTCCGCAGTTTTTCTGTCACCCTGTTTTAGCTGTGAACCAAGTCTTACCCACTCCTGTGCTTCATACTGTGAAGGGTGCATCTTTATCTCTTTGTCCCCTTGTCTTGTCCAGCTGCCCTCTCATCATAGCTCTGTCTGGGTTTCAGTTAGTTATTTTTCCTTTCATGTTAATGCTATTGTAACCACACCAGTGCTATGAAGAGTTGAAGCTTGTAGTAAACGGTTACTCGTCTTCCTGTCCATCTTTTTATTTTGTAGGAAATATACTTCTTTATTAACCACTTTAAAGTGCACAGTTCGTTGGTGTTCACATTCGCAATGGTGTGCCTTATCCACTTAAGTCCAAACATTTTCATCACTCCAAAACAATTAGCCAGCCACTTCTTACCCTTCCACACCTGTCCGGGCCTACCTCGCCTGTAGCAAACACTAATCTGCTTCATGTCTGTGGATTGTCCCATACTGGATATTTCACATGAATGCAAGCATACGATATGATATTATGTGTCTGGCTTCTTTCACTTAGTATTTCATTTTGAGGCTTATCTCAGTCATAGCATATATCAGCATTTCATTCTTTTTTGGTTGAATAATATTCCATATGAATACACTATATTTTGTTTCTCCACTCATTCATGGACATTTGGTTATTTCTGCCTTTTGGATATTGTGAATAGTGTTGATTACAAGTATCTGCTTAAGTACTTGTATTCAATGCTTTTGAGTATACAGTAGTGGAATTGCTTGATTATAATGGTAATTCTGAGTTTAATGTTTTATGAAACTTTTCCACCATTTCAAGTTTTCACTAGAAAAGTATGAAGGTTCTAAATTCTTTATATCCTCATCAACAACTATTTCCTCTTTTTAGGTCTTTTTGCACTTAGCACTAATCATCTTCAAATTCTCCTAGATGTTTCAATGTCCTCTCAAATAAATCAGCCAGGTTTTTGTGTGACGTCCTCTTCCTTCTAACTGAAGCGCTTCCTTGAACATTACCGGTGGCACACTTCCTGTATGCTTCTGCTGGCAACTCACTTCATTGCTTTTGGGGGGATTGAACCCAGGGCTTTCGCACTGACCTACACCCCCAGCTCTTTTCATGTTTTACTTTGACACGAGGTCTTGCTAGGTCACCCTGGCTGGGCTTGCATTTGTGTTTCTCCCGCCTCAACCACCCACATTGCTGGGATTAGAGGTGTGCATCAACACACTTGCCTCTTCACTGGCTTTTATTTTTAGGAAAAGGTTTTTATTGTACTTTCTCTCATAGTTCTTTTACTTGATGGGACTTCACAGGGCTGACTTTGGACAGAAACATGAAGGGTCCTACTTTTTGCTTTCTGTACCTAAGGCTCTATTCCGGTATGCCTCTCCAGGGCCTGACTTTTCACGTGGCCTTTCTTAGATGTGGGAAATAGGTTTCTCCAACAAAGCAAAGGAAAACAGAAGGGAAGTGTACTCGTGCTTCAGCCCCTGCTCTGTGATCCTCCGGGTCGTTCCCTGTCACCATCCCTGCTCACCTCTGTACTTCCCGTCTGCGTGAACAGTGACTTCTGGATCCTCATGCACCACATCCCTGAGTTTAGAGGAAACTTGTGTCCTGATTTTGTGGTGTCTGGCAAATAGTTTCAGGGAGTATGTTTGTAGCCATTCTTTGGTTTTGATATTGATGGAGTTGTCAAAAATTAACTCTTAGTTTGAGCATAGCTTAGACTTATAGAAAAAGTACAATACTTTCTGTATATGACCTTGCCTAGTTTCCTCCAGTGCCAATATTATACTACCATGGTGCATTTCTCTAAATTGAGAGTTACTAGCTGGGTGTGGTGGCACATGCCTGTAATCCCAGCCCTCGGGAGGCTGAGGCAGGAGGATCATTGTGAGTTCGTGGCCACCATGGGCTACATAAATGAGTTGAAGGCCAGCTACATAAAAGACCCTGTCTTTTAAAAAAAATCTATATTACTAATAATTAAATTCCCGACTTAGTGTTTTTCCAGTTTTTCCACTAATGTCCTGTTTTGTTCCAGGGTGCACAGATGGAGTCTTCTCTATTTTTGCTTCTTTAGTTCATTATGGCAGGCTTCCTGGACAAGAGTTACACACGCACACCTTCATCAGCCCTGGGCAGCATCACCCCACATCACAACCCCACACACTCCTGTTGCTCAGAGCCACATCTAAACACCCTGTGTGACAGTGACACTGACAGAGTCACTGAAGATGCTGGTTTTAGACTTACTGGTTGTCATGAAAACTCAGTGTTTTATAGTGCAAGTGTTTAATTGCATACTTTTTTATACTTTTTTTAACTTCCATGTTTAGTTGTCCATTTCTCCAAAATATGAAGTCCTCTGCAGAAGTGATTCGAGACCTCAAGGGCTGTGGTGAACTCCCTGAGATAATGGTATGTGACTGGGTGATTGAAAACTGCTTTGATCAGGGATCACTCGGTGTAAGTAAGTAAACACATAAATTCTCCAGATATCTACCAAGCACCTTCTGTGTACAAAGTGCAGCGGGGGTTACCATGAAGTATCGAGAAGATGTGATTCCTGGCTTCCTGAATGAGTGCTCAGGGAATTTGGCATTGAGGCCTGAACATTTAGAATTGAACAGCATCAGGCTACACGGATCCCGTCTTTGATGTTTATTTAGAGGCCAGTAAGGTCAAACTTCCTCTTTGGCCTTTTTCAGGGCTGGGAAGATGTATCTTTAATGAGTTATGAATGATTTAGGGATGAGAGTGTGCAGTATATGTACTATTGTTGTCCCCTGATTGATGTTTTGAAATTTTGTTGTAGTTTTCCTCCTCTTTTCTTCTTTCCTCTTCTTCCTCCTTCTTCTTCCTCTTCTCTTTCTTTTTATTCTCAAGCAAAATGGATTTTAAAAAAATAAAAAAATAATAAAAGGAAATGACCAGATACTAGACTGACCCCTTTAAACTGAGAAATCCTAATAGTTCTCTGAGATTTCAGCCACTATCAATTTGATAAATATATGCACGCCACCCTATTTTAAGGCTGTGTGGTAGATATGTTTGTCATCCAAAACAAGAAAACAAAGCAACATTCTCTTCACTTGGTACATCTTTTATATTTGTGAATTTTAGAAATCCATCGGAGTTAGGTATGGCAGCAGACATGTAATTTCAGCTATTTAGGAGCTGAGTTGAGAGGATCAAGGGTTTGAGAACACACTGGGTAATTCAGCAAGGCCCTGCTTCAAAGTGAAAAAAAAAGGATAGGGCTGTATGCTGGTGGTCCAGCACTTTCTCAGTATGTTTGAGGCCCTGAGTTCTATCCGTTATGGCAAACAAAACAAAACATACTGTAGCAGTCACTTTTCCATCATTAGAACAAAATTCTTGACCCCTGCAGTTTAAAAAAGGGGAGATTCATTTTCAGTCACAGTTTCAGTGGGTTCCGTGCATATTCTGCTGGCTCCAAGGCAGAAGTGGCATGTCAACAGGCATAGTGGAGCATGCCTGTAATCCTAGCACTCAGGAACCTGAGGCAGGAGGATCACTGTGAATTGAAGACCAGCCTGGGCTGCATAGTGAGTTCAAGGCCAGTCTGAACTACAGAGTGAGACCCTGTCTCATAATACAAAAAACAAACACAACAACAAAAGAATACACCTTTTGGGTTATGTCAACAGGGACCTGCCCCTCCAGCCAGGCCCACCTCTGAACATGAGACTGGTGGGAGGCATTTTAGATCCAAACCACAGCACACGCAACACCTAATCTTTAAAAAACGATATGGAGATATTGAGTGGGTCCTAAGTGGCAGCTGGTTTTTATGACACTGTGAGATGTGCCTCTCTCAGCCCTCATCCTGTATGCCTGTGCATTACATGTTCAACATAAAAAAGAGAAAAGGATGACATGGAAGACGAAAGTGTGGGGGCATGTAGATAGCTTAGTGTTTAAAGGAGAAAACACAACTTTTCTGCATCCCAGGTGTGTGATAACAAGCATGTGGCAGGAAACTAAGGACAGAGGCTATACATGATGCTTTTCTCAGGGCCTGCTTGCTCTAGACTGCGGTTCTGATTCCCTGGACCGCGCTCACTGGGCTGCACCTCCTGTGTATCAGACTGGAACAAGCACACCCTTGCAGATGATCTACTTCCAACATTCCTCTCCCTCAAGTCAGCATAAATACCCAAGGGCAGACTATGTTTAAAGGATGTTTGTTTTTTCCCAAAGATGGTATGATTTTCTCCCTCTCTTAGGCAGATTTTGATTTAATAGAGAATTTTATTTTTTAAAGGAGACCACAGGTGAAAGCAAGCTCGAAGATCCCACAACAGCAAGTTCTTTAATGCCAGGTAAGAATTTGGGAGTTGGCCAGTGGGTTTGTATGTGTGTAAATATGTTTGTAGGTAGGAATTTGAAAAGAAAAATATTTATAATCATTCCAAGAGTTCCTGGAGGAGAGGCACCAGAATAGAGAGCACAGCTCTGTGTGTGAAAGCTGGGTGCTATGGGCTCTCCAGATGGAGCCAGAGGCCTCACCGCCTGGGACACAAATCGTGCAGCAGGCTACTTCCCTGAGACTCTTAAGTGAGCGATCCCTTGGTGTTCCTAAGAAAGACACATTCTGCCTGAGTTCTGGGGTCAAGGAGGGTGCATGGGCATATGCTCCCCACTTTATGATTTTGTGGGAAAAGCAGGGAGAACACACATGGCCATAGAAGGTCCTAATCCACTCATGGTGGACAGGCATCATGGTAGGGCAAGAAGAGTACAGGACTGGGATTGAGAGAAAAGTGGCTATGAATCCACCCCCGCTTCCTTCTCTCCACAGAGGTGGCCCAGCAGGAAGCTCCATGGTTTGCAGAGGCAAAGAGTCTGAGTGAGCAGCTGAGAGCCATCTACACCAGTGCCCGTTTCCGCCACTTGTCACTGCTTGAGAGCCCTTCTGACCTCCCCTCTGACCATCTGCTGGGGTGCGACCTGGCCCTCACGGCCAAGCATGTCAGCAGTCCTGTGCAGGAGCCCCTGACGTTGCCCGAGGTCTTGGCCAACTTGAACTCTGTCATGAGTGTGGAGGGTGAAGCTGGCAGTGGGAAGACGGTCCTCCTAAAAAAGATCGCCTTTCTCTGGGCATCCGGGTGCTGTCCCCTGCTGAACAGGTTCCAGCTGGTCTTCTATCTGTCCCTGGATTCCATCAGCCCAGACCAAGGGCTGGCCCAGGTCATCTGTGACCAACTCCTAGCAACAGAAGGCACAGTAAGTGAGACAAGCCTGCGGCACATGACACGGCAGTTAGGGAACCAGGTCTTATTCCTGCTGGATGACTACAGAGCGAGGGCCTCAGGGTCCCTCGTCATGGAAACACTGATCCACAGAAGCCACTTGTCCAGGTGCTGCCGACTAATTGCTGTCCATACAAACCGGGGCAGGGACATCCGTCAACACCTAGATACAGTTCTGGAGATCAGGGAGTTCCCCTTTTACAGCACCTTCTCTGTATTACGGCGGCTTTTTCCAGGCCACCAGCCCCAGCTGCGGAAGCTCCTGGTGTGTTTTGGAAAGAACCCGCACATCCAGGGGATTTACAAAACCCCTCTCTTTGCGGTGGCACTCTGTGCTTACTGGTTGAGGTACCCTTTCACTCAGTCTCTCGACCACGTGGCTGTTTTCAAGGCCTATATGGAATGCCTTTTCTTAAAGCACAAAACTCAGGCTGAGCTTTTCAGAGCCACTGTGTCCTCCTGTGGGAATCTGGCCCTGAAAGGGTTTTTCTCATCTCGTTTCGAGTTTAGTGACGATGACCTTGCAGAAGCAGGGGTCGATGAAGACGAGGATCTCAGCATGTACTTGATGAGTAGGTTCACAGCCCAGAGGCTGAGACCAGTCTATCAGTTTTTAAATCCTGCATTTCAAAAATTTCTTGCTGGAAAGAGGTTGAGCGAACTGCTGGATTCAGACAGGAATGAAGATCAAGATTTGGGACTTTATTATTTGAAACAAATTAACTCACCCCTGCTGGCTGTGTGTTCCTATCACGATTTTTTAAAGTATGTCTCCAGCTACCCTTCAACAAAAGTGGGGCCAAAGATGGTATCTCATTTGCTCCATTTAGCAAGTAAAGAGTCACTGGGACATCCGCCCCCAAACAGTGACCCCTCAAAGCAGGAAGAGGAAATGAGCCTGGATGCACAAATGTTCAGGTCATTGTGGCAGTTGTGTCCAGAGCAGTGCTTGTTGCTGCTATCAGAATTTTTACTGGATTTTGCCTTGAGCATTGCTTATCAAAGCAGTACTGTTGCTGTATGTGCTCCATTTATTTTGAAATTCCTTCAAGGGAGATCTCTGCCGTTGAGAGTACTTAACTCACAGTACTTCTTTGATTACCCAGAAAGTCTCCAAGTGCTGAGAAGTATCACGGTCTTTCTAATAGGCAGCAAGCAGAGATGCAGACCAGACAGTGAAATCTTGGAAAGATGTTTTGACAGGTCCCAGATGCCAACAATAGATGAGGACTATGCTTCGGCCTTTGAGACTCTCCAGCAATGGGAGCAGGACTTGGCGCTGAAAGAGGAGAACATCCGGAGTTACCAGCGGCTCCAGCTGCAGCCGCCGCTGGTCCTCTCCAGCGGCTACTGGCGGCTCTCCCCCAGGCCACACCAGCTCCCGCTGCTGCAGCTGCGCGCCGCCTACCAGGGCGCCGCCAGTCCCGCGGTGCTCCAGGCGCTCACGGCCGCCTTCGACGCCGCCCAGCACGTTGAGCTCCACGTGGAGAAGAGCAGCGGCTTCTTGGAGAGCATCTGGTCCGCGCTGGAGCCCAGCAGGGCCGCGGTCACCAAGGTCACCCTGTGCATCGACGAGTGGCTGAGCGCCACGGAGCAGGAGCTGTTGCTCGCCCTGCCCGCACTGGAGTCCCTGGCCATCTCGGGCTCAGCCAAGTTCTCAGGTAGCCTGGCTGCCTTCTGGAGCACGCTCCTGCTGGCCATTCTACTTTCTCAGGCTTAGCTTTGGGTGATGTGTGCCTCGAAAGCCATAAGCCCCTAAATCCTCTTTGATGGTAGAGATACAAACTTTCACTCATTTGGGGGCTAGCAGTATAAATGAATGACAGGCCCCTGAATAATACAATGGTTTTCAAATAACTCAGATTATTTGAACCTGAGCATCTTCTGGTTAATAAAATTAACAAAACATGGATGTCAATATTTAATTTAAAATATTTCATTAAGGACCCTTAGTAAGCAGATATAAATTACTTTTCTAAATTACTTAATGATCTGTTTGTAGATGATGCTGGAAAATTTTTCCTGTCCCCGCTGACTAATGAAAAAAAGGGCGTGGCTTCTTCAAGAGACAACATCTCTCATTTATTGTTTTTTTAATTTCTTTTTTTGTTGTTGTTATTTTTTGAGAGGGTCATGTAGCCCAGGCTGGCCTTGAATTCGCAATGATCTTGCCTCAGCCTCCCAACTGCTTGGGGTTACAGGCATGCACCTGTAGTTTGATAGTTTTCAATATCAACTTTCCCCATCTTTTTTTCTTTCTTTCTTTCTTTTTTTTTTTTTTTTTTTTTTGGTATCTAGGATGGAACTCACTACCACATCCTTGCTAGGCAGGCGCTTATGCTGTGAGCTAAATTCGTGGCCCAATATTCCCCTTCTTTCATTAAATTTATTCCTAGGTACTAGTGGGATTTTTAAAAACAATATTGTAAATGATATTTTATTTTAGTTTTATGTATTTATTTATTTGTCTTTTTGAGACAGGTTCTTGCTATGCAGTTCGGGCTGGCCTTGAATTCACTTTGTAGCCAAAGCTGGTCTAGAACTCACAATGATCCTCTTGCCTCAGCCTCCCAGTGCTGAGATCACAGGCGTGCACCACCACATCACACAGGATATTTAATTTTTTTCACCTTCTAATTGTTAATTAATTTTGATTTTCAGTTATTGTTTTGAGATGGGGTCTTCCTAAACTGCCTTGGCTAGGCTTGAATTTGGTGATCCTCCTGCCTCAACCTCCCAGAATGATGGGATTACAGGCATGTACCACCAGGCCTGCCTCACTTTAGCTTTGTTTTTTGTACCGAGAATCAAACTTACAACCTCATGCTTGCTAGGCAGGTGCTTGTGCCATTGAGCTACATCCCCAGCCCCTCACCATAGCTTTGATTTGTATTTCCCTGCTGACTGAATGATGTAGAATATCTTTTCATGTATAAGTTGTTTTGGAGAAATGTCTATTCAAATGTCATTGTTAAGATATCTTTTGCTATTGACACTGCTATGTAGTATTTCTTTATATATTGTGGTTGTTAAACCCTTATCACACCTATGTTTGAAAAGTGTTTTCTCTCATTCTATTACTCTCTTTCTCCCTCTGATTTCATACGTTCTTACCTTCCTCTGTCTCTTTTCCTTCTGCTTTTGTTTTGGGTACTGGGGTCACTCTATAGTGGCCTCTAAGGTGCAAGTTTTTTTTTTTTTTAAACTTATTTAATTAATTAATATTTTTAGAGACAGTGTCTCACTATGCAGCTCAGGTTGGCCTTGAGCTCATTTTGTAGCCCAGGCTGGTCTTAAACTCACAACAGTCTCCCTGCCTCAGCCTCCTGAGTGCTGCGATTACAGGCATATGCCACAATGCCAGGCCTTTTTTTTTTTTTTGTCTTTTTGAGACAGGGTCTCACTATGGAGCCCAGGCCGGCCTGGAACTTGCAACAGTCCTCCTGCCTCAGCTTCTTGAGTGCTAGAATTACAGGCATGTGCCACCACACTTGGCAAGTTTTTAATTTTGATATAGTCTAATTTATCATTTTTTCTTTGCTAGTGCTTTTGATGTCATATGCAAGGGCATGAAGATTTGCCCCTATGTTTTCTTCTGAGTTGAATGGTTTTAGGTCTTTTGATCATTGACGCATTTTAAGTTAGATATGAGTTAAGGTAGGAAGTCCAATTTGATTTCTTTTGCCATGCAAATCCTGTTGTTCCTACACTGTTGGTGGGGGAGATATCTTACTTATGTTTGTGAGTACAGAGAGTAACACAGGGCTTCCCAGATGGTACATACTTGGTGAGTGCTATAGACAATTCTTTGTATATATCCTTACTAAAATGAATGTTTTCCAGGGCATGTTAGCACACACCTATAATCTCAACACTCAGGAGGCTGAGGCAGGAGGATCTCTGTGATTTCATAGCCAGTCTGGCTTACATAGTGAGTTCAAGTTCAGCCTGAACTATGAAACAAACTCTTGTCTCCAAAAATAAAAAATTAAAAAAAAAAAAAAGAGTTGTATGGTATCTGGTGGTCTTCACCTGACAATGTGAAAGTAGTTGATGGGTCAAAATGATAGTTTCAGATTTTCCACTTGGAAATTGTTAGGTCAATAATGGGAAACCATGCTTCTCTACAGATCAAATCTTCCCTAACCTGGACAAGTTCCCATGCCTGAGAGAACTGTCGGTGAATATGGACAGCAGTCTGGATATTTTTTCTCTCTTTCCTGATGAATTCCCAAACCTCCATCATATGGAGAAATTACTAATCCAAGTTTCAGCTGGGTGTGATGCTTCCAAACTAGGTAAGGATGGCACTTGGATTTATTTGTTTTTGCAGTAGTTGGAAAAGTTACATGGCCAGTGATTTTTGTTTTTTTCTTTTTGAGACAGCATGTGGTACCAAAAAAAAAAAAAAAAAAGAACTTGTGTGGGTCTGAGGGTTTAGTCTGTCCCCATGGATACTGTGGGCACAGCACTCTCTCCTTACAAAGCAGAGGGCTAGTTGCAAATTTTGAGCTTTTACTATCTGCTAGGGACCATTCTAAGTGCTTCCCAAATTCTAACTTCCTCTCCACATCAGATCCTTCTGATCGTTCACAGGGATTGAAACACAAAGAAGCTAAGTAATTTACTCAATTTGCCCAGCTGAGCAAACCTCAACCTGAGTCTGAGCGCTCAGCCTCTGGGGTCAGCTTCTGTGGGAGTGGCTGCTGCATGTGTCTCCCAGAGCCGTGAAGGGCAACATGGAAGCTACTGGCCAGGCTGGAGCTGCCATCATGGGCAGGTGCCTGCTTGCAAAGTCCCTTGCTTAGCACAACCATCAGCACCTCGCTCTAGGAAACCCTAAACACCAGATAGAAGTGGACCCTCAAGTTATGACTGGCTTCACATACAACAACTCGGGTTATGACCAGAATTTTGGCTTTAACTTAACAACCAGTCTTGAGTTAGGGCCCGAATGCCGGCTGCTTGTGCTTCCAGATACAGATTTAACCCTTAAGGCATTCTGGAAGGAACATCACAACATCCCTTCCCGTATCAGCTTCACTGAGAAATCCTGGGTCAGCATCTTTCTAAGGACCGAAATCCGCCTGTGTACAGGACAGAGACTTTGAAGGCTGTGCAGGAGGCTGAGCATTTGACTGACAGCCTGCGTTACAACCAGCCCTTGGAAAGCTTTGAGTTCCTAAGTCATGGGTCCACTCTATCAAGCTTTATGAAATCACATGTAAAACATTTGCTGATGGTGATATATTGGAAGTGGTAGTTTTCTTGTATTGGTTGGGGTTTGGGAGGGGTTGTTTGTTTGTTTGTGAGATTTTTGTTTTTTTTTGAGACAAAGTCTCACTATGTAGTTCAGGATGTCCCAGGCTGGCCTTGAACTCACAGCTATCCTCCTGCCTCAACCTCCTGAGTGCTGTGATTACAGATGTTGTCAGCATTTTTTTTTTTTTTTGGCTTTTTCCTTTTCATCGGTACCAGGGATCGAACTCACGACTGCCTGCTTGCAAGGCAGGCGCTTATGCCGCTGAGCTAAATCCCCAGCCCCAAAATAATTTTTTTTTTTTGTCTTTTTCCTTTTCATCGGTACCAGGGATCAAACTCATGACTGCCTGCTTGCAAGGCAGGCGCTTATACTGCTGAGCTAAATCCCTAGCCCCTAGCTGTCAGTATTTTTACATCAAGTGAGGCTTTGCTTCAGTGCCATTCCTTGTGTGTTTGTGTAGTGTTTGTATTGTGTACATGCAGTACAGACATAGACATTATAAGGTGATGGCTGAAGGGGATCCTCCTGAGCGCTTATCTTACAGATAGGAAAACTGATTCCTGGAGAGTCAGTAACCACGTTGCCCCACTCTACCCCCGTCAGTGCAGATCCTACCTGAAACCCAAGTGGCCCAAGTCTTGGGTCTCTGTGTCAGGCTGCCTTGTTTGAAGTCAGTATTGTTGGAACAGGAAGTCATAAAGAATGAGGCCAATTTGGATAGAAATTTGCAGTTTTCTCTAATTTCTGAAAAATCTTTGATATTTTACAGTCAAATTGATTCAGAATTCTCCAAACCTTTGTGTTTTCCATCTGACGTGCAATTTTTATCCGGGTTTTCAGTCTCTCATGACCACATTGGCTTCCTGCAAGAAACTCAGTGAAATTAGATTTTCTGGATCCTTTTTTGATGCTGTCCCATTTGGTAAGAATTATAACCTTATAATTTTGTACTTTTTTTGTGGGTACTGAGGATCGAACTCTGGACCTCCTTTTGTCTCTGTGGACAAAATCATACTGAGCACAATGAACAAGAGCCAAAAAAAAATTTTTTTTTTGAAACAAGATCTGGCTATGTAGTTCAGACTGGCCTGGACTCTGTGTGGCTCAAAGTGGCCTTGAATTCACAGTGATCCTCCTGCCTCAGCCTCCTGAGAGCTGGGATTACAGATATGTGCCAGTACACCTCGCTGTTTATAATTTTAAACATTTCTAGCTTCTAGGATTATTTTCTGAGTAAAGATTTGTTTTACCTACTTAGTCAAATTAATTCAGTTTGAATTAGTATATTGTTTCGGGTTCTTTTTGTTTGTTTTTTGAGACAGGGCTTCACTGTGCAATTCAGGCTGGCCTGAAACTCACTGTGTGGCCCAGACTGATCTCAAACTTGAAACCAGCCTCCCTCAGCCACAGCCACAACTTCTGCCTCAGCCCCTGGAGTGCTGGAATGCAGGGTGTACCACCTCTCCTGGCCTTAGTACTATATTTTAATTTTGATCATTTAAAAATACTACTTGTACTCATAAGAAATGTAACTGACATAACTAAATTTTTATTTCCTCTTTCATAGTCACTATTCTGCCAAGTTTTAGTTTTTTGAAGATATTAAACCTGGAATACCAGCGATTTCCTGATAAGGAGACAGCTGGAAAATTTGGTATGTTTTCAAATCGGTGCTTCCTACTTTTTGTTTGCTTCCTTCCCCTTGCTTCCACGAAGTCCTTTGCCTGCCGCTTGACTTAGCCACAGTGCAGCGGATATGGGCAGGCCTCAGGCAGCGCCCATGGGTGCTGGTTCTGGGACCCTTGACTGACCGCAGTAGGAGGGCACTCGGGTGCCGGGTGTGAAATCAGCTTAGTATTTGCGTGCTACCTGCGCGCATCTTCCTTTGTGTTTTACGTGGTTTCTGGACTCCTTGCATCACCTACTACAGTGTGAATGTGATGCAAGTATTTGTCCTACTGTATCGTTCAGGAGACAGTGAAAGGCACACGGGCTGAGGGCGCAGTGCAGATGCAGGCCTGTGTGGGGTCTGGCTCTGCGGTTGGCTGACCTGTGCAGGTGGCAGCCGACTCCGCTCCCATCGCCTCCGCAGGAAGCGGTCGGCCGTTTCCACACAGTCATCGGGCTTGGTCCTCGAGTCCTCAGAGTGGGTGTTTTTTTGTTTGTTTGTTTTGTCTTTTTTGAGCCGGAGTCTGGCTATGCAGTTCAGGCTGGCCTTGAGCTCACTTTGTAGCCCAGGCTGGTCTCGAACTCGCAATGATCCTCCTACCTCAGCCTCCCGAGTGCTGGGATTACATGCGGGAGTCACCACTCCCGGCCTCAGAGTGGGTTCTACAGCAACTCACAGCCCTGTGCAGTTTGATTAAGTGTCCGTGAAGTCCTCCTGTCTCCGGGAGTTCCAGAGTGCGAATAGGCAGGAGCCTGCCTCTGTGCGTCGGCCGGGAGGGGGCGCAGGCGGCCACCGCCTTGGGTGGACAGTGGGGCGGGGGCCAGGCAGCCTCACAGGGAGAGAGCAGCGTGTGTCCCTCTCCACAGCTGGCGCCTTGGGTTCGCTCGCGAACCTGGAAGAGCTGGTCCTTCCAACCGGGGACGAGATTTATCAGGTGGCAAAACGGATCATCCAGCAGTGCCAGCGGCTTACGTGCCTTCGAGCCCTCACCTTTTTCAAGATTCTGAATGATGACAGCTTGGCTGAAATCGGTAAGCTCCCTTAGTGCGCCGGCTGGCAGGAAGCCCGGCGCCTGGCCTTGCAGGCTGCACCCAGCGCCAGGAAGCCTGCCTTTAGGGGTCACCCAAGCCTGCAAGTCTCATGCGTGCACATGGGCGCAGTGCTGCGCTCACACTCAGGGCGGCCTGCAGCCAGCGCTCCTTAGGTCCGTGTCAGACACGAGCGTGGCTGAGCCTCTTCCAAGTGCCTTTTTCAGCTGGATATTAATATACTTACAGAAGGACAGAAGTCTTCAGTGTGCCACTTAGTGAACTGTACTGAAGTCTTGAATATTTTGTGTGGCCAGGTTAGAATATGGGACGTCGCCAGCCTCCTTCCAGCTTCCAGTGTGACAGTGCCGCCCGCTCCTTGCGGGAGATGGCCAGGGTCTTGCTTTCTTCCGCTACACATTAGTTTTGCCTATTTAAAAATCCTACATAATGGAATCCTACACAATATGTACGCGTTTGCATCTTGTTTTTGATCATTATGTTTGTGCTATTACGATACATATGACAGAGCTCACTGATTTTTCATTACCAAAAATCATGCTGTGACCATATACATGCTATAGCTTGTCCACCCAGTTTATTCTAATATTTGGCTACTATGAGTAGTGCTTTTAGCTGGGCATGGTGGCATGTGCCTATAATCCCAGCACAGTGAGAGGCAGAGGCAGGAGTATCAAAGTCTAGGAAACTTAGCAACTTAGTAAGACTCTGTCTCAAAATAAAAGTGAAGAATAAAAGAAAAATTTGGGATGTAGCTCAATGTGATGCCCTGGGTTGAATTCGTTAATAGTAATAGTATTACTACCCTACAATGAGTAGTACTGCTTCCTTGAACATTCATGGTCTTTGACGTACATATTTAGGTGCTTCTAGGGCAGGAGTTCCTGAGGAACTCGGATAAACTCTCAGTTTTCCACAGAGGATACAGCAATTTACACGCTGACTAGCACTCATTTCATACCCTGGCCCTATTTGGAACTTGTCAGTTCTTCAAATTTTATGACCATAACTCCTTTTAGATTTTCTGTTGGTATGTTCTTGTTGTGTGATAGGTACTGTTTGGCACATACATTTTGCTAGGAAGTACTTTTATTTAAAGTTGCTAAGGCAGGAGGCACGATCTGAGGAGGCCTGGGCTACATAGTGAGACCCTGTCTCAAAAAAAAAAAAAAAAAAACCCACACAGACAAAAAAAACTCTAAAGAAAGCTGAGTATGATGGTGCACACCTGTAATCCCAGCACTATTGGCTACATAGTGAGTTCAAGGCCAATCTGAACTATGTATCGAGACTCTGTCTCAAAATAAATAAATGAATGAATGAATAAATAAATTAAAATAGAACAATACATTGAGCATCTCCTACTTTATTCATAATAGTGGTAGCAGAAGTTGAGTCAAATAACTTTGTCTACTGTTATTGAATTAAAAGTCCTTAGGATCATGTTTTCATGAATGTTTTGTTTCTATAGCCAACATAGCAATCAGTGGAGGTTTCCAGAAACTTGAGGACCTAAATCTTTCAGGGAATCACAAGATTACCCAGGATGGGTACAGGAATTTCTTTCAAGCCCTGGATAACCTGCCCAGCTTGAGAGAGCTGAATATCTCCAGACACTTCGCTGACTGTTTGACAATCCAGGCCACCACGGTCAAGGCCCTTGGCCAGTGTATGTCCCGCCTGCCCAGCCTGCTCCACCTGAACATACTGGGCTGGCTCCTGGATGCAGAAGATGTTGCACTGCTTGATGCCGTAAAAGAAAGACATCCTCAGTCCATGCGTTTGCAGATTTCCTGGAAATGGAGATTGCCATTCCCTCCAGTCATCCAGAAATGAAACCTTCAGGTGGGGTGAGCTGGTGCATCCCTGTAACCCAGCACTCCAGACCTGAGGCAGAGGACTTGAGTCCAAGGGCACCCTGGCACAGTGATAACTTATCTCAGGTGAAAAAAATAAAGACTGTCTCTTAATATATTAATTATGTTCTAAAAAAATAGCCTCTGTGATGAATTTGATCATTATATACATCTACAGTGTACCAATAAACTTAAAGAGGGAAAGAAAAAAGACAGTCAGTAAAAACTGCTGAATCAATAATTCTAGAAACATAGATTATCAAACATATTTTAGTAACTACTGTGACAAAAGAGTATGTGATATACATAATAATCAAATTCACCATAGGGAATTTGTACTCCTATGTGATATTTTGATTCTTGTTTTTTTCCTGCAAACCTCTCTCCCTTCCCTTCTAGTAAGACTGTGAACCATAAAACTCCTAGAAGAAAACATAGGAAGAAAGCTCTCTCTCACTGGCTTTGGCAGTGATTTTTTGCATATGATACCAAAAGCACAGGTAACAAAAGCAAATGTGTACAGGTGGAACTGCATCAAATTAAAGTGTTTATGCATTGCAAAAGAAAATGAAGACAGCCTACACCATGAGAGAAAATATTTCAAACCATCTACCTAAGAAAGGGCTAACATCTGTAATGGTTGGTTGTGTCAACAGGAGAAGTTTAGAAGTTTAACTAAATGGGTTCAGCAATTCTATGCCCTGGGCTGTAGAAGATCTGCCTCAGGGTGACTCATTTACAGCAAGGGTCGTGGGGACCCACCCTAGAGCTGCTCATGGCCTGGACAATACAGAGGGCACATGAAGAAGGCAGGCTTGCTTCTGTTTCTTTGGAGGAGCTCCAGTCTCAGCCTTCAGAGCACACTGACTCCTGGATCCCAGTGCAGACTTCAGCTGCATTACTGTTCAGCCTCCCATCGCAGACCCATTGGCCTCCTGAGATGGACTGGCACAGGACACTGCAGTGATCTCCAGATCCTGGCTGAACCCTGCAGTCTCCAGCGTGCGGACACCCTCTGCACACTTCCTCATCCAGTCCTGTGGGTGACCATCATAAGCTTATCTTGTAATTTTCTATCATAAGCTTATCTTGTGATTTCCTATCCAATTGTATATCTTGTGTTATGTCTGTTTCTCTAGTAAAATAGATACAATATGCAAAATATGTAAGAAATTCATGCAAGTCAAAAAAATGTGAAAGACATACAAAGATGTTCATTATCAGTAGTCAGCAGATAAATTCTTCTTTTTATTTATTTTATTTTTTTGTACCAGGAATCAAACTCACTACCTCGTGCTTGCCAGGCAGGCACTGTGCCACTGAGCTGTATCCCCAGCCCTACAGCAGGTAAATTCTAATCAAAACTGTATGAAGCATCACCTCACACCTGTTATCAGAAAGTCAACAAATGAAAATAGCATGTATTAGTGAGGGTGCAGAGAAATGGGAATTTTGCCTTTTATACTGTGGGCAAGGAGATAGTTTGGTACAGTCACGATGGGAAACAGCGTGGTTTCCTGGCAGAAGCAGTACTGGGCCGCAAGGCCCAGGGTCACCAGAGGGTCTGCCCCACAGCCCAAGCCGCAGGGCCTCACTGTGCCAAGCAGGCCAAGGCTGCAAAAGCTTTTTAATAGGATGAGATCCCAGTATTGATTCTTTGTATTATTTTCTTGATAGCAGGGTTTTGTTTATGAAATCTTTGCCCACACCTATGTCTTCAAGTGTTCAGCCCTTTTTTTTTTTTTTTTTTTTTTTTTAAGATTTAGTGTTTCTGTTTTAGTATTTAGATCTTTGCTCCATTTTGATTTTAGTTTAGTGCATGGTGATAGATATGGGTCTAGCTTTAGTCTTTGGCATGTGGAAAGCCAGTTTCTCCAGCACTATGCTACTGAAACAGCTTTCTGTTGTTTCACTGTTCTGGGGACTGACCCAGGGCCTTCTCACGAGCTACATCCCTAGTCTTTTAATCATTGTTTTGAGACAGGGTTGCCCAAGCCCCAAGCTCAGTCAAAATAGCTTTCTTTTTTCTTCCTCCTCCAACTTTTTTTTCTTCTGCTTCTCCTTTTCTTCCTTCTCTTTCTCCTCCTTTTCCTTTTTTCTTTTTGTTTGAGACGGGCTCTCTCCATGTAGCCCATTAAGTCTGAGTGATCTGTCTGCTTCAGCCCTCGGGTGCACCCCGCCTAGCCTTGCCTCAGTGGTTTTCTAAGCGCCACCTGTGACCTGCACACTGCTGTTTCTCTATCATCCTCCTGTCTTGTGGGGCCCAGTGAACAAGGGCTCCCACTGCTCGCACTCCCCCCTCCTCTCAGCTACTCACCTGCACTGGCCACCCTGCCTGTTGTCCTTGCACCTCACCTAACGGTGCCCCTCTCTGACCCCTAACAGCTGGGAGAATCCCGGGGCTCCCCTGACATCTTCCTTTCAGTTAAGGTTATTGGTAAAATTTAGGCATACACAGTGATCGCGCTCACCATGGGGATTTAGTATCTGTCTGTAATATACCTTGATTTCTCTTTTTTCCCTTCCCATTTCCCTCACCTCCCTTTAACCTTGGTTCCCCCTCCTTATTTGCAAAATTGTTTCCATGTTATCCTTCTTTCCTCATTTTTACCTTTCCTTTTTTTTTTTGGTCTTTTTGCGACGGGGTCTCTCTATGCAATTCAGGCTGGCCTTGGGCTCACTTTGTAGCCCAGGCTGGCTTAGAATTTGCAAATGATTCTTCTGCCTCAGCCTCCAGAGTGTTGGGATGACAGCCCTGTCTGGTTGAGAGGTGCTAACTCCGCAGTCATCTCAGTGGCTCCATCATCCGGGTCCATCGTCCTCTGCAGCGGGTCCATCTTGACGCTGCGTTCCTCCTGGCTCCTGAGGACCATGGCTCCCGAGGGGAGCAGGAAACTGCTGCTTCCACTCCAGCTCCCGTGCCACCCCTGGCTCCGTCCCAAAGCTGTTCTTTCAGTTGGTCACCCAGGACTTTGAAGTCTCTCTTGGCTCTGTCTGGCAGCGGCACACAGAACCTGGGGCAACCCCTACAGCGCTCCTTGCACAGTACTGCCCCAGCGGCGACCCTAGGTCCCAGCCCACCAGCGCCTCCGCTAGGAGCCCCTGCTGCGGGCGGACCTGGCACACTGTGCTGCTCTAGATCCCTGCTCTGCAAGCTGTGGTGGCTGCACACTGACTCTGTGATGGGCTGGGTGTCACAGGACTACACCCTCAAATCTAGCCCCGCTCTGCGGCACTGACAGGCATGGAAGCAATCTGCTCAGGTGTTTAGAGCCGCAGCATCTGGGGAATGACCAGGGTAGACATGGTCATTGGGTGGGGCTCCCATTGATTAATCTCAGTTCAGTCACAAGAGCGAGAGACCAAAAGACCCACGCTCACCCCCCTCTCCAGGAACGTGACGTCCCGCTCATTACCACTTCACAGGCAAGGAGACTTATAGCTTGGCATAATTGACGCCATCTTGAGCTCTGCATTTAACTAGTGCCCTGTATTTCATGCAGAAGAATGCAAAATTACCTAGAGTACTATCCCCTAAGAAAAGCAAAATGAGCTGCACCTACAAGAGAACAATGAACCTGCTCAACAAAGAAGCAGGATACAGATGTCAACCAAAAATTAATGTAAGATTCTAGCTAAATTGTTTCCAACACAATGTCTTTTTGTGGTTCTCTGCTTTAAAAGCTTTGTAACTTTCCAGTTCAGGGCCACTTGGTGGGACTCTGAAACAGGGGTCTCTACATGAGTGGTGGCTGAGCTCAGCTAATTAAATCCCAAATTTATCAATTTGGCTGCTTGGATTCCTGTATTGTTCACGAACCTACTTCAAGGACCATCATGGCCAGACTGGGCCCCTCAACCCTGTGCGCCTCCTGCCCTGTCAGCCAGAACACACTTCTTTCCTTTGTAGCTCACCTAGGCTGTTATTTCTTTGAGTCAGTCTCACTAGTTACCCAGGCTGGGCCTGAACTTGTGATCTTCCTGCTCAGCCTCTAAAGGGTGGGAATTTCAGGCATGTGCCACCACACCCCTCTCGGATGGATATTTTTCCTGGCAACAGAAAATGGCTTAGTTTTCCCTTCTATTTGCACCTAGAACAACAGCTAGCAAATAGACAGCATTAAATATGTATTTCCTGGAATTAATGAGCTTCCTGAACCTATACTGCCGTTTGGATATATGAGATATTAAGGAAGGAAAATTCAAAATATCCCAGATGGCAAACTGGTCCTATTTATAATTAAATTTAACCTGCCACATACTTAAAACAATTAAAATGTGAGCACACAGAACATTGGCCAACAGTCATAAAAAACAAAATATATAAGAAAACCTAAGTCACAAAACATCTCACTTTGCAAAGCTTACTTACTAAGCATTTAATATTCATTTACTTAACAATGATATACTGGACAGCTAACATGGTAGGCACATACGGGGGCTTAATCAACTTCATTTACCTTAGCTGGGCATGCTGGCACACACCTGGAATCCTAGCATTCTTGGATCCTGAGGCAGGAGAAACACAAGTTTGAGCCCAGCCTAGGCAACTTAGGGAGACACTGTCATACACACATACATATGGACTAGGGATGTAACTCGATGTGAAGTAGCTCAAACAAAAAAAGTACAGTGGGTGCGGTGATGCACACTTGTAACCCAGCACTCAGGAGGCTGAGGCAGGAGAATTATCAAGAATTTGAGGCTAGCCTGGGCTATATAGTGAGGAGACCTGTGTCAGAGAACAAACAACATTCAAGCAAAAACCTCACTAGAATAGCATTTATCACGTTAAGCTCTTTGTAGATAGTGAATTGGACCAGGGAGAATGCTTGGGGCCCCAATCCTTAAACAAAACTCCAGTAATAACCATAGAAGATGGTACAGAACCAAGAGATCCTCACAGTGCCCTAAGGGGGGGGGGAGGCTTCAAAATTGTAAAATGTCCACAGATGATCAAAGTGCTAAAATCCACCTCTCCTAACTGGAAGGCTAGTTCAAGATCTCGAGCTGCCAATGTTGCCACAACTGCCCTCCATATACATTGCCTGTCTTGTGCCCCCCACCGCCTGCTGGTACACCTGCCTGGACCAAAAAAGGTGTTTTCTGCCTTTGGTTGGCTGCTGTCAGCCAGCCCCTCTTCGCCTGTAAATGGAAAGACCCCAGTTCTAGATGCAAAAGTCAACTGACGTGTGCTCAACGTCCCAGAAGTTCAAAACCCCTTTTACTCTCTTTGGAGAAGCCCTCACAGCTGACCTCATAGTTTCCCAGCACAAACATCCCTGCACTTCAGGTTAATGACACCCGAGCTGTATGTTGGAAAGACACAAAAGCTCTGCTGCAGTATCTTGACAGACACTAGTTACAAGAAACTACACGAATTTCTCAGAGCTGCTGGCTTCTATAGAATCTGGATCCTTGAATTCACAGAAACAATGATGCTTACTCAGCTTGTGAGCCCCTGGGAGAGGCCAGCGGCCTACCTGTGCAAATACTTGGATCAGGCCACTAAGGGCTGCTTCCTCTTTGCCTCTGAACCCTAACAGCCACTGTCCTTCTGGTCAAGAAAGCTGACAAGCTCATCTTAGGCTAAGGCCTGACTGCCCAGGTGCCACACACTGTACTGAACCTCCTGCATAACTGTGGACCACTCAGTCCTGCCACGTATCTGTCCGCCAAGCTGGGCCCACTGGTCCCAGACTGAAAATGAATCCCATGACAGATGCTGAATACATCCTGTTTACAGATAAAAGCAGCTGTTAGATATGGAGTCCAACAGCCTAGATGTGCTGTGGTCTACCTGGACAAAGTTATTTTAGCCAAAGCTCTCCCGCTACTGCTTCCTGCTGCTGTTTGAAAACCTGCCACCATCACACTGACACTCCTAAGCCCCATCCAGGGATCTGACTGACTGAAACATCAACCCCAGGCAGAAAATCTTTACCCACTACCCCTAGAAGATCCATCTTAATTGGAGCTTTCCCTCTAAAATCAGGAACAATGCCAGATGTGGTGGTGCACATCTATAATTTTAGCACTCAGGAAAACTGCCCTGAGTTTGGGGCCAGCCTGAGCTACACTACAAGCAAGTGAGTTTCAAAAACAAACCAAAAAAAAAAAAAAAAAAAAAAAAAACCAAAAAACCCAACCCTCAATAAATGGAATCTTATCAAATTAAAAGGCTTCTACATAGAAAACAACTGAGTAAAGATACAACCTACTTCTAAACACAAATTGGTAAGTCCTAAAGATGTATTACTTCTACCAAAAGAATTAGGTAACTGGAATAGTAAAGAGAAAATGATCAGAAACGATCTGAACTTTCTTTTTTCTTTTTTTGTAATGGTGGGCTATATCTAAACTTGCCATCAATTAACATATAGTCCTTACATAAGAACATCTGCCAAGCAGGGCATGGTGGTGCATGCTGGTAATCCCAGCACTCAGGAGGCTGAGGCAGGAGGATTGCTGCAAGGTCAAGGCCAGTGTGGGCTACAAAGTAAGCTGAAGGCCAGCCTGAACTGCATAGTCAGACCCTGTCTCAAAAAGACCAAAAAAAAAAAAAAATCTGCCAACTGTTTTAAAGAACAAGACAGCCACCAGACATGGTGGCCCCAACCTGTAATCCCAGCACTGGGGAAGGTGAAGCTCCTGTCTCAATCAAAAGAACAAAAACTGTTTTACATACTATATGCTCTTCAGGATACATGTATTAAAGAAAAAGCACTTGTGCCGGGGACTGAGCTCAGTGGCATAAGCGCCTGCTTGGCAAGTGCAAGGTGGTGAGTTTGAATGCAAGTACAAAAGAAAAAAAAAAAAAAAAGAAAGGAAAGAAAAATCACTTATTAAAGAACACTGACCTACAAAAATAAAAAATTTAAAGTTTAAAGGAGTAACAATAACAGATCACATTTATTTTAATTACATGTTTTATTTGTAAGAAATGTAAATGGAACAAAAATCTAAGGTAAATAGAATATTGCCCTGAGATGGTAATCTGTGCACACACACATAAATATGTATTTATGCAAATGACAGGTAGGACACAGTTCTGCAATATGTATTAAAAGTATGTTTCCATCTGACTGTTCCTCATATCCCATAGCAACAATATTGCTTCTTACAAAGAATTAAAGGGATAAACTGAATTATGTTCACGTTAACCAAACTTTTATAAACAGTAACAAGGCTGGAGAAAGAATACCTAACCACCAGCCACTGCCTGAAAGTCAGTGTTTTTGTATGCTATGGCGAGTGTCACTCAGGAAGGTGTCATTTCAACCTGTCAGTTCTTATATTGATAAAGTTGTTGGGGCTGGGGATTTAGCTCAACAGCATAAGCACCTGCCTTGCAAGTGTGTGGTCATGAGTTCGATCCCTGGTACTGGTTAAAAAAAAAAAGTTTTATATGTCCTATTATCTTACAAAAATGAAAAAAATTGCAATCTTTGGTTGTCCTGTATATAAATAATTGGTAAGTGATTAAAATCCCACCAGCAGGGACTGTAGTAATTAGATGGGCCTGCAGGAAGCAGGCTTTAACTAGTTTATTCCTTTTGGTAGGAAGCAATGTGGCAATAAGTGATGATGTACGGAGGTACTTAGAACCCAGGAACCAGGGTAAAAAATTGTCAATCTACAAAATTATTCCCCTGAAACTTTTAAGCAGAAGGACTTAAAACAGATGTATGTTTATGTAGAAAAATGTGTCCATAACACCAATTGTCTCATGCAGCTGTGAGGTACAGAGTAGCACTGGTTGATATATTTTCTTTCTTTCTTAGGGGGGATGTTGCTTGCCCCGCAGGCGCTTGTGCTCATGAGCTAAATCCCCAGTGCATGACATACTTTTTTTTTTTTTTTTGTCTTTTTGAGACAGGGTCTCGCTATGCAGTTCAGGCTGGCCTTGAGCTCACTGTGTAGCCCAAGCTGGTCTCTCACAACAATCCTCCTGCATCAGCCTCCTGAGTGCTGGGATTACAGGTGTGAGCCACCATGCCCAGCGACATACTTTCTTTTAATTACTAAGAGAGATCAATTATTTGGAAAACATGTGACACTGTAAGAACCGCTCTAGGCAGGGTGTAGGCAGCTCAGTGGTTAGCACTCCCACGGCATGTGTCAGGCCCTCCCAGCACTGCCGAAAAGGGAGAGTGTTGTGCTAAAGTGGGGAAGGTGGCAGGCTGTCACCTCAGGGCTCCGAGAGGCTAAGGCAGGAGCATCTCAACTCCAACTCAGCAGGCAATTTCCCCTGGCCAGTGCAGCAGGACCCTGTCTCAAAATAAAAAGTAAAGAGGGCCAGGGGTATAGCTCTGAATTCCATTCTCAGTGCCACAAAAAATAAGTAAGTCAAATGAAAAAATGATTCAGTGAACTGGGTCATCCAGCCACTCATTCATTAAGTGATGAAACACTGGTTAAAACCAACTAGCATTTAGAAAACGCGGAGAAGCTGGAGGTGGATGTGGTTTCCTGTGGTCCTGTTGCTACAAAATGGCACAATCTGCAGGCACTGGGTAGGAGCTGGCCCAGGAGATGAGTTTCCAAGCCCTTCTGGCTGGCATGGCTTCCAGCCGGCCTATACTGTGGAGGCAGTGGCCAGCTGCTGCTGAGGCCTCAGATGAGGCACAGGAGTCTGAGCAGGCAGGGAGCAGGGGACTCGAAGAGGAGCAGAAATCAGCAGGAATCCCATGACTCTCAGGTGTGCAATAGCAGCTGCCAGGTGTGGGCTGGAGTCTTGCAGCTGTGCTGTGTGGCCTGGGGTGGCAGCCTATTTTCTCATCTGT